TGATTAAAGAGTCACAGCTAAACCCAGATCCCTGTACAGCAGACAGTTACAGAGGATATCCAGCACTGTTCTAAAAGATTGTAAATAGACTTGAGCTTGTATCTTTCTTTTCTAGTTTTCTGACTACTCAAAGCACTTTTACACCGCAGGTGACACCCACACATTCACACACTGATGACAGAGGCTGCTGTGAAAAGTGACCATCAGTACTAATCCCATTCAAACACATTTATATGCCACTGACGAGGCAACAGGATCAACTTGGGTTTAAGTGCAGGAGCTGGGGATCGATCCCAGACCTTCCAGTTGAGAGGCAACCGACTCTACCAACTGAGCCTCAGCCGCCCTTTAAATGTTGAATTTTAGCTCCTCCCATCAGGATGTCCGTTTAAAGAACCATCCTGTAAAATAAAGCGATACCAGAATAGCTTTATCCCAGCAGCCATCAGTGAAATTAACAGGATGATACAGCAGCAATGCTTTAGTTATAATTTTAATATATTTATTGATTATTTATTGATCTCTGCACTTTTTTCATCTTGTCTTTCCTTTATCTAGTTTTTACTGATTGGTGGTATATTCTTATTTCTATCTTGCTTTTACTTATCTTATCCTAACTGATGGGGTTACTTTATCTTGTTTTCACTAACAGGCTTCTCACCTGAAGTCTGTCCTGTCGTTTTTGTATAAAAAGATGCCAACTCACTCAAATAAAGTTACCTTATGTTGGGCCACGCAGGCTTAGGACAGTCAAACAATGGACTTGGGCCTGCACCTCTGTAAAAGCCTCATTTGAGTTATTCACTGAGATCACAAAGAGGCCTAAAAGGACTCTTAATCCCAGAATCCCCTGCGGTACTTCACACCTACGTGTGAAGTAAAGGGGGGACCGGAACCTCTCTCTCCTCATTGGAGGGGACCTGAGGTAGACCCCCCATGGAGCAGGCCAGGCTACAAAGCTCCAGTCTTTAAAAGCAATCACCAGGCATTGCTTCCTTCTCTTCAAGTGTGGTCTGCCGACACCAGAGGATACCCCTTTCCTCCTCTTGACTTACATAGGTTAAACTCCAGAGCTGAGGTTGCTCAGTATAGGTAGCTCTTCACATGCTGAATTCAAGCATCAGAGGATTCAGCTGACTACTTCCACTGCATATTTTTAGGAGTTTTGGGCGCAATCAGATGCTATCAGGTTCGAGCAAAAAGAAGAGTTTCTTTCCTTTGATTTTTCGTAAGACGTCATTGAACGCAATTGGACAGGAGCGCTGAAGGAAGCCCACTGATCCCTGAATCCACAAGGACACATAAAGAACTCGGCTCATGCAACCAGAAGACCCTATAGAGCAGCGCTCTGGTCGAAGATCTGAATCCCGCTACCCTCCTCCTACATCTGCCACGAAGGAAACCTGCCTGAATCTGTTGATTTAACATTCAACAGAGTGACGATCTAACCAACTTTGCAACGATCACCAGGAGTTACTCCAAGTAAGAGCTTTGGTCTGGGCAGAAATAGTTTCAGAAATAGTTATGTTTCTTTTATAACCACTGATAATTATGCATCATTGTTGACGACACGTCACATTCTGTATATTATCTGTTGTAAGCTACTGCATTTGTTTTATTGTAATGAACTGCTGTGTTCCTCTATGTGTTTAATGCTATGCTAGTTTACCTTCAGTCAACGGCTTTCACAATCAGAAAGACCAGTGTACCCGCCGTTGAATCAAAGTCCGGCCACTGGCTTTCTGGTGTTTAAGTAACAGTTACTGAACTCAGCTCAGAGAGCTCAAACTATTTCAAAAGGTAGCCACGCGGCTTCCTTTGTTGTCCACCATTTTTGTCACCATGTGACGAAGCCACATGGTGCATTGTCTCTCTCCACCATCTTGTTCTCTCTCTCTCTCTCTCTCTCTCTCTCTCTCTCTCTCTCTCTCTCTCTCACACACACATCTACATACACACTCATCTGTACACACACACATTTACACCTCATCCACAAGCCTTTGCTTGATAATGTTTGTTGCTTAGATTAGTTTATAAAGTTATTTGTTTAATTAAGTTCATTGATTTTGGGTTGATGTTGCTTTGTTTAAATAAATTCTGTTATAATTTAAGAGAGCAGTTGTTTGTGATTACTGGTGTATTTACATTGTGATATAAGCTGGGTGCGAAGGCTTTGTGTACGGATTTCACGCCTTCAATTCATTAAATATAGTTATTCATTATTAATAATATTAGTAATTAAATAACTAATTTGAGACTGATTTGAGTGATATTTTGGTTATATTTACCTGATTACAGGTTGGTGCCCCAAAACGAGATTAAACATAGTTTAATGATATTTAATTTATATTATTAATAATTAAGTATAATTATTAAAGAATATAACCAAAGTTGACTTGATACAACCCCAACAAATGGTGCCCCGTGTGAGGCCTTCAATAAACCAGCTTTATTGCACTGTAAATGCACAGTAATCCAAACTTAAAATCCTAAAAAGGATCCTTCGGAAGAAAATTATATTTTCTTTAAATTTTTTTCACTACATAAAACCCAAACATTGCTTTAGGTAAAATGAAGTTTCCTTCTGTAGCATGTCTGGTTGAGAAGTTGTGTGTTTCTGAGCTGAAAGTTAATTTTTAAATGAAATAAATTGAAACAGTGATAGTCGTGTAGGCATTCAAAAACAAATGTAGAGGTGGACCAGTGCAGCCAAAAATTTCAAATTTATTGAACAAAAGGTCTAAAGGTGAAACTAAAACTTACTTTCAAAGTCCAAAAGAAACAACTATTGTCCCAACATGAAAGTCCATGAAACAGGTGAAAAACACAAGGAGCCATGAGGAAAATCAACCATGGAATACAGGAACAACAGGGAAAGTCTGATAATGAACTGACACAGGAGGGAAGAAGCAGAGACTAGTCCACACGAAGGCAGAGGTTTTCCTCCTCTCTAATAACAACCTGGCATTTGCCCGATTGCCCAAGATCCGTAGAGAGCCTAGAACAATCTGTGAGATCTAGTAGAACAGCGCCTATAATTCTCAATACTTCAATTTCTCTCAGCCAGTCATCTGTCATCCGAGTCAGAGCAGTAGCTGTCGAGCAGCCCTCTCTATTTGCATGATGAAAAGCGGTGGTCAAATTATTTTTGAGAAAAAAACCTTTAAAGGTCACATATCATGCAAATTACACTTTACCATGGTTTTTTAACCCTGGTATGTTTTCCTAGCTTGTCGACAAACCCCACAATTATGAGAAAAGTCCATCCTCTCGTCTTTTGCCTGCTCATATTTTTCAGAAAATGTGTGCTCAAACAGGCAATTTGGAGGTTTTCCCTTCATGACATCACAAAGAGTGGCAACCCCTCCCCCATGGGGGGTGACACTTGCTAGAAAGGCTCAATACATGGCTGTTAAACTGGCTTAATCATGGGGTTGTAGTTGTTATAAAGAGGTGTGTGGATCGGTTGGTGAGCTACGAACGCAACATCCACAATGCAACGGTGGTGTGATCGGGTGTGAAAAGAATGAGGAAGTTCTATAGTTCTTTTTCTCTATTTGTTCTATGTAAACGAGGCGTCCATTGACAGGGCAATGAACGATATGCCAGACAGCATCCCTCAAGTCCTATCAACAATGAGAATACACCAGGTTGTCACTACCTCTCCAGGACAGATGTTGTACTGGGAAACAAGACCAGTAAAAGTAAAATGATTCACATTTTGTTTGTGTCTAATCCGGTGGGAAAAGAATGAGGAAGTGTCTTGTGCTGATGAGAGCTACAGGAAATTTGATAGAAGCGCTGTGACTCAATAAGCAGTAACTGTCTCTTTCGGAATTTCTTAAAACCACAACACAAGACAAATGATACATTTGAACATCTTTAACGTGGACAAAGAAAGATGGACTCCATTGTAGGATGGACTTCATAAAATAAAATAAAAAACACCTGTATTAATGGCACAGGAAATTTAAACAGAAACATAAAGATCACATTTGGATACAGAAAAATACAAGTAAGTAAACAAAGTTTAAAGATCAGTGGCGAACAACATTACAAGTTACTCAAGTTACAACTGACTTTCCAAAGCAATGACTGAGTGATTTAAAGGAACAAAGTCACTAGGTAAGAGAGCTTAATAAATCAGAGAGTCGTCTGCTTAGAAAGATTGTTGTCATGAATGACTAAACGAAAAAACAAAGTCCAACAAAACTGTACAAAACAATTCATTGTGCCATATTAATATTGAGAAGGTTTAAATACAGTAAGAAAACGTGAATGTATTGTGTTAGTCCGACTGAAACTGGACTTTAAAAATGTTAGTCAAACTGAAATTGTCAAATGAAAAGTCTAATTTCTCAAAGTCGGACCAACACACGGAGACAACGTGGTTGGGAGTCATTTAATTCTTGCCTGTGTACCCCTCAATTAGACCAAAACTACATATCTTGTGCATTATTGTGAAAATAAAAAGAAAAGCATAGTTCAAGAAATTACGTGTGTTCTGCTTCTACCATTTCTGTTTTGGCTGGTGTGTTCTTTTGTGATGTTCAAATGCCACTATTTGGATAGGCCTCATAGTGTGTCCGGCTGTGCACAACATTACCTCCAGGGACAATGAGGTTCCGCATTTCTTAATTTGGGGGTCGTGGGTTGAAAAGTTTGGGAATCACTGGACTAGCATAAATGCATAGCATTGCAAAGGTCGTGTTCTCGTACGCCTTCAGATATCATTATAAGCACTGTGGGATAGCGTGCATCACATTTGTTCCAGATGTAATGTTAGGAGCATGCACAAAAAATACAGAGCTGTAAAGTTGTCCATTTTTTCACAGTTTGACATACCACCATTTTCCTGCATGCTAACTCGATGGCATGGTTAAACAGAGAAAGGTCGAATAGTAACCAGCTGAAAGGCTGCATATCATTTCCTACCAAAGCGCCGTTTGACACTGTAAATACAGAATACACTATGTGGGAAGAGTTTCCTGTGATTTATTTTAGTTTGCGAGAGTACTGTACAGACTGCTGTGATCATCATCTGCCTCGTTCCTCGCTGAAGACTTGACTGCAGAATAGGTCACCTCCTCTTCCTTTTCAACAGGAACGAAAGAAGAGTATTTAGAAATAATTTTCACAATCGGCTACACAAATAGCTAAATAACTGTATTTTGTGGTTAGCCTTTTCTTGTTTTTCTGGTAAGTCTTTGGTCTAAATTTACTTAATCACAGTAATAAAAAAAAAAACAGGAACTCAGAACTGAAAGGCTTCCGTCCTCCTTCCACCACATTTATCAAAACACTTATAACAGAATCATTAATCACAGAACCCAACTCTAGCTTACTTTAGCTGTATGAATATAAAAGAAAAACTGTTTATCTTGTGTTATATTTTCCAAAATAACATCCTAATGCACATTTGTTAAATCTAAAATGTCAACATTTGTCAGATTTGTGACTTAAAACATTTCAAGTCTCTTACCTTCTTCCTAAAAGACTTCTGTTGTTCACTGTGGCTCAAAGTAACGTAGGTCAGATCACTCTCCGGCTCATTCTGACGGAAAACAACACAAAGGTTAACAGAATGCGTTAGGAAGAAATGACATTGATGAGTACGCCGCTGTTCCAAAAGTTGACCTATTTTTTTTTCAGCTGAGAGCGCTGTGGGTGCAGTGACCAAAAAAGAGGGCATCTCTAGGACATTATGCTAATGCTAAACTGCATTCGTTTTGTAGAGGAAATAGGAGCCGCTCAGCACAAAAAACAAAGTCAGTGGAGTGGACACAGGTACTCCTCAAAGCAGAAACAAATAGACCTTCATTAGATGCGATACATCTTTTCTCCACCAATGGCAGCAGTGTGTAAAGACAGTCTGTGATTTTCTCAACCTTTAACCAGGAGGGGAGATTGCCTTATTCAAGCTTTAACTGGCTTGAATAAAAACACTGGTAAATTCAACCAATTTTTATTCTTAGCAAGTTGTAAAACTAGAATTGTCTGTTTGAAAATGAATCTAGATAAGTTACTTTCCCTGCACCAAATGTTATGCCATGATTAATGAAACACACTGAAAAGATTCTGCAGATTTTTTTCTTGATCAGCTACATAATTTTGCAATGTATGTGTATACAATTTAGTGTAAGTACATTGAATTATATTTAACAGTATTTTAGTATTGGACATGTAGCTCAGTTGCAATTTCTCTGTTATTGTTTGAAATTAAAAAAATACTCACAGGCTGTTGGCTTGGTGTTTGAACATCTGAAAAAAAAATATAGTCATCAAATATTATACACTAAACACAACAGATTGTCATTTTAACCAAATATGAGAAACCTTTGAACCGACATTTTAGTCATAAAGCTGGAAAAACAATCTTCCCGTCATATTTGAATAATTAAAGGTAACCTTATATTTTAATGACTGGGCTCAAAGTGTTTATTTTATAGTAGAAAGCATAGCCGTGCTGTAGTACAGGCTGCACTATTGATCGAATTAATCACATAATTTTTTATCATCACAAATTATAGCATAGTGTAGCGTAGCGTAGCATGACTCGGAGCAATAATATCCCAGCATATATAGGAAATTATAGCCTAGCAAATCACTGAGTAGCATTGCACATATGGACTATTATCACATAGTAGAACTCATCATAGCGTTTTATAAACAAATCAAATCAAACAATAGCATAGCATAGCATAGCATATCCGTTATTTAATAGCATAGCAAAACATATATGTCAGCATTAACTAGCATATCATACCATTATATAACACAACGCAGCCTAGCACAGAAAACAGCACAGCATAGAAAATCATACCATATAGCCTCGACTTTGTATCATAGCACAGAACAGTCTAGCTTATCTTACCACCGCATAGCAAAGCATATGATAGAATAGAATAGAATAGAATTACTTTATTGATCCCAAACTGGGAAATTGTGGTGTTACAGCAGCAGGTTGTCCAAACACACAATATTAGCAAAAAACACAATATTAGAAAATTTAAACACAATATAATATTAAATACAAAGTAAATAATCACTAAAAATATTAAAACTAAGAATGGGAATATATACAACCAGGATTTAACTTAGCTTATATCCAAAACAGCAAAAAAGGAGCAAATTCCGACAGGAGTAAAACTTCATGTGCATGAAAACAAAAAGACGAAAAGAAAACAGTTGTAAAGAGACCTTTTCATGTCAAAACACATAAAACGTCCTGTATATAAGGGGCATTTCCAGGGGCACCCCCAAATTCCTCAGACTACGTGCGCGCAGCGGCCTGTCAGCGCCATGCACGTCAGCGCTGCCACTCGAGTCAATGCCCCTATTTTGCAGCAAGAGCCACGGTCCGTCCCTTGAGCGTGCCACCAGCGCCACTACGCTCTGCTAGGTTTAAAATACGCTGCGAGTCTAGTTAAGCTGGACTATGTGGAATGCATTCTTTGCTGATCTATATGCTGCTGCTCTACCCAGATGATACATACTTTGAAGGCCTTGCGTATGCTGACTTTTCTATTAGTACAACTTATAGCAAAGCATAATATAGCATAAAGCACATAAAATCGGATTACATTCATACCTGAACCTCACATGAATCACAGTGCTTAAAAAAACAGCTACAGTATCACTGACCTTCAGTTACTTTGGCTCTCTTCTTGTATTTGATTAGAACAGCAGCCATGACAACCAGCAGAAACATCACCCCGACCAACACACCGACGATGATGAAGGTTTGTTTGGCATCAAAGTCCAAGCCAGGATTAGAACCAGGATCAGGATTAGAACCAGGATCAGGATCTGTGATCAGAGGATTGAGTTTAATTACAACATATACATCCACTTGTTTTCTCAAAATACATTATCAAGGACATAAGACTACTTCATTACAATCCATTTACAGAATATTGAACATGTTTTGGGTCATATTTGGATTTTCTTTTTGGTCTTTATGGACTCACTGATCCTACGTGTCCTACCTGTGGGTCAGGTGGGTAGTCAGCCTGTATCTCCACTTTATTCATCTGAACAAACTGCAGGTGAATTCCTGTTGTCTCCACTCTGATTCTTCACCTTCAGATGAGAGACGCAGTCTGTACCTCTGGAAAGCTTTTGGACACCTTCAGTAACCTCAGTTCCTGTCTCGTCCAACCAGCGGAGGCCAATTGGTTGACAAGGGGGACGATTGTTGTATCTCAACAGAGAGCACTCTAATGTGACTTCACTGTTCCTCGTTTGATCAGAGTCTGCTGGAAGCTGAGAGACTGAAAGACAAAAATAACTCAGTTAAATGTTTTTGATATCCGCTGAAAAGTCAGAACTTTCCTTAAAACACCTTGATATGTGTCTGTTCATCTTTAGTCATGCCATCTTCAGTACCTTGTCAAAAACCACAATCTAGACCCTCTGTTTGTTCTAACTGTATTCTTCCTTTTCTGTCTAAACTTTTAAAGAAACTAGAATTAACTCAGCATGGGTTACATGAGTACCCTGAGTACAAATGTATTACAAATGGAAACCAGAACACTTTCCATGCTGAAAACCCGGACCCCCTGTGTTCAGATTCTACATTCTTTTTTTTCCTTTTTTTTTACATTTATTTTTGGGCTTTTTGTGCTTCTAATGGAGAGACAGGACAGTGGATAGATTCAGAAATCAGGAAGAGAGAGAGTAGGGAATGACATGCGGGACCAGCGCCCCGAGATTCTACATTCTTATGTAAAGACAAATAATACATTAAGAGATTAAGCTCAATTGCAACTCCATTTTCAATTTTCCAAATGCTTGTGGGACTCTAAAAAAGTGATTACCATAAGAAAGGAGAAGTTAAAATCCAGGTTTTTAAAATAGTTTATCCAGATATCAACTGGCTACACCAACACAGTCTGTAAGCCTCAGAGGATAAAGCACAGTTAAACAAAAGCTGATGTGTTCGTAGGTTGAGCAAAATGCAATAATTCATCCAGAAAAACAACGTGCCAAAATTATCTGGATAATCATAGAAATAAGACCTACCTGTCAGAAGACTTAGATACACAAAGACATCAAACTCGAACTGCTGCTCCAGTCGACACGTGTAGAAACCAACATCCTCAGCAGTGATGTGTTTAATGACCAAAGAGCAGTCTGAGTCTAAACTCAGCCTGTTAGCTCGGAGTGACTCCTCGTTAATCTTTTCTCTGCTTGCCTCAGTTAAAGTCTGTGATGTATCTCTGTTATAAAGCCATGACATCCTGGAGCACTGTGGAGGTTGATTTTTAATGCCACAGGGCAGAGTGACATCTTGATCAGGGAGGTAGAAGCGATAGAGCACTTCTTGACTGTTGCCCACTAGAAAACAAAAAGGAGAACTGTAAGAATTAGATGAACATTAAAATATCTCTCTGGAGAGAAATGATAAGGTTTTGTTTTTATTTTGTTTTAAAAAAGGACCATAAGACCATAAATAACCATGTGACACCAACATCAGCTGTGTCACTTCCACTTATCCTCCTCCTCTGACATCGATCTGCACACTGCTTACATAAATGTTTTATCATCATGTTTATATCAGCACCCTTTGCACTCCTCATCTCCACTATTGTCTTATGTAGGCTTGTATTTATTAGTGTGTTGGTTATTTTTAGCTTTCAAACGACGTCACCATGGACTGTAAATATTAATGTTTGAAGCCTGAGTGATGTCACCCATCTGTTCCTGCAGGGGGCACCAGAGGCTCATCGGTCCATCCTGTCTCAGTCTAACTTTCAGTCAACCTAAAGACAGGCTGAGAGCTGGAGCTCAGGCAGGTTTTAACAAACCATTACATCGCCCCCAACTGTCAATCATGTCAGCTGCGTGCCTCACTATGGATAACACGTATCGTTTATGAAATCAAAAGGGATGAGTTGTAAAAAAAATCACCACAGATCTTTGCTGAGAGCGCAAACATTTCAACATTTCAACATAAAAACCGTAATCTGTAAGAGCAGAAGTATTAACTATGTTTGTTACATGTAAGCGATGGTAAGGCATTTAAATAAAATGTTTTAGCATTTGTCACACTTAATTTTTTTAATTTCTAAAAAAGATTTCAAAGATAATCACCAGTTTTACAGTAACCAGATCCTTCTGATCCTTAATAGCTACGAAAAAACATGAATACTTATCAAAATATCTAGACTCAGGAGACTTTATGAACCACAGGAGTAATGGAGAGTACACATATTATTTATATTTCCTTAAGTACATCTGCTGACCTCTGATTACATGTAAGAATCTCTCCAAAAAACGGAATTCTACCCTTCTGACAAAACTTTTGATTGAAGTCCTAAAAGAGGCTTAAGGGGTGCCGTTGCCTAGCGGTTAGGTCGTGGAGGCAAAAATAGATCTTAAAAAAGAGGCATGATAATAATGTTTCTTGTAGTCATGAAAATATCACGATAAGTCAAAGTACAACATGTATTTAAAAAGAAAAGAGCTTTACCTTCAAACAGAAGAGCAAAAACAATGATTAGTTCCAGTCGAGCCATTCTCTGTCCATTCTCTGTCAGCGCTCGTTTGCTCTGACTTTAAACTCACATTGATCTGATGTGAGGCAAACGCTGCAGTTTCCTCTTTGAGGTTGAACTAATGTGTTAAAATAACTTTCAAGCAACTGCCTCTTCTTCCATCGAGCATGTTGCCACAAGCTTTCATCATCAACTTGTTCCTCTTAACAGACTTCTCACAGCACGCGGGGGGGTGGGGGGGGGCAGAGGTGACGTTTCAGATGAACAGATAACCAATAATAAGCATTACACTTCCTTTTATGGTGAAGTTGTTAAACAGAAAAACTCAAAGTAATATAATGTTTTAAATAAGTGAACATGCATTTAAAGTAATCAAACAAAAACATATCATAAATCCAGTCTGTCCTGTGTAAATGTCTCTCTGAGTCATGACTGTCTACAATGAGGGAGAAGCTCGAGTTGTTATCGGCCATTTTTACGTGGACGCGACGGCCGGCTCCTCCCCTTGTGTATGATAGCCTTTTTAGGGTGGTTTCACAGTAGGGACCCAAGCCCAGGTCCGAGTACACTTGACCCGGAAGTCCGGTTCATTTGATCAGTGTGAACACAAAGATCCTGTACTCGGGTGCTGCGCACGAATCTGCTTGAAGAGGTGTTCTCGGGGCACGTTTCATGTGTACTCGAGAACAGTCCGCAGGACATGTGAACGCAACCCAGCTCAAACAAGGAAGTGGACGACTGTATGACGTCATTCTAAACGGCTGCTGTGGCTTCAAAATCCGTCGTATCCGCACAGCAAGGGCTCGTTTTGTCCTCTGAGTGGGAAGAAGGAAGAGGGTCGTTGTTGGCGTCTCAGAAATAATAAAAAACATCCACAGTTAGCAGGGGAGACTCGGTCTGCGAGTATGAAACAATCATACCAAATGTGAAAACACCCTTAGTCAAGGACTAGAGAAAAGAAGAAGAATATACTCACTGCTTATTTTAATTGTCAAGTCAGCGTTTTTAGATAACGCTCATTCTGTGTCCATTCACATGCAACGTGAAGCTACGAGCTAACTAAAGAGCGCTAACATTAGCATGCTAACACAACAATGCAGGCCACAGGCAATTGCAGCTCGAGCCAAAGACAATTTTGTCCGCGACCTGCACTAAACGCGGGTGGAGGGGGGTTGGAGGTGTGTCACTGGAGGAGAGCGGAGGCTTCAGGATGGAGGAGGCGTGGCCAAACAGCAGTTTGTTTTGGTTTCATGCTGGTGCTCAAGGGCGACATCTACTGGAGCAAAAAGTCGCACATTCTTCCTTTAACAGATGATCCAAGACGGGAATATTTTATCTTTAAACATAAACATCAGGGTCTCTGTTTATACTTTTATTTTATCCTTGCTAAATATATATTTCATTAAGCTGTAAGTGGATAGTTGAGCATTTTTGTATCATCCAAAGTGTTATTTTGGATGATTGAAGAACTGCTCTGAACATTTTCAGCCTTTAGTTTGCAAAGTTTTCTGCATTAAATCCTGTATCAGAGTATAATATGACTGATGATTATACTATCAAGGTTTTTAGGTAAGTCCCCCTTTCCTTCCACCTGTAGCCCTGTCTGGCTGCTGGCCTAAAGAAATACAGCACAGATAATGAATACACCCCAGAGAGGACTATTTATCTCACAGCATAGGGTAATGAAAATGTTGTTGTTTCCATTCCCTCATGTGGGTGTAATCAAAAGAGGAAGTGGCACGTTTGGTAAGAAGCATGCTCGACCTGTGGGCAAATATTAACTGGAAACATGAACTACAGCTGAGAGAGGTGATGAAATCATTCTTTTTGATAAACACTAAGCAGTGTGAGAGAGACGTAATCACTAGTCTCCAGAGCCCATCCCATAGACAATAACAATATATGTTACCTCTTTTTAGCCAGTGCTTTAGTCTCTCTAATGGCCAGTAGGGGGCTTCTCCACTGGCTGCTGAAACTAAGTTGATTGCATAGATGTCTTTGAGAAAATGACCTTGTTTCTCACATGTTTTATAACCAAAGTAAAAAAATATGTTTTCCTAAAAGGTTTTCTGGTTTGTATGTCTTTTCTCTAAACTAAAGATGTAAATGTTGACGTCAAATCTCTTCAGAGTTATATACCATCAGTATGGACTTGATGGAACGTTGTTTGAGTTCATGGCTTCACTTTCCTTTGGTACCTGCAGTGGAGTTTTTCTTGTTGTCTCAAGTGGAAGCACTGTTGTCTTTTTCTTTTATTTTACTGTCTTCAACAGTTCAACAGTCTGTTCTGTTGATGTCATCATCAGATAGAAAGTTTTGTGGGCGTAATATTAAAGGTGGAGTAACTAGCATTTCTCATTGCAGCCTGTAAACACAACATTCAAAACGGGGCCCCTCCTCCTGGGCTCATCGCTCCCAGAAGCGCACACTCACTGCAGGACGTGGTGTGTACTTGTACTGCTTGTAGCTACAATGCAAGCTACCGCACCGCATGCTAGCTCAAGCTAACCACCAGTGTTTGGGATCCGCTCGTCCAACAGAAAGCAGACCAACTCCACGTCTTCGGGTGAAGGCTAACACAAGATTCACCCTCATTTCTAAATGAGCTCGGTCCACGTCCGTCATATTCAGTTTGAATCGTGTCCAAGCACTGAATTGAATCCACTCCTAAACTCACTTGCGCATTAGGAAACACATCAGCTCCCCGCCCAGAAACTCTCCGTGTCAAAAGAAAGCATCAAAATCCAGACTGACTCTATCTTTAACGATGTGACAGTATTTAAAAACTTAAGAAGAAGTTCTGTATTTTATGAAAAGCTTGTGTAGAATGTCTCAGGGAATACTTTGTTTTCTAGTTTCAATAATTAGAGAACATCAGGTATCCAGTGTGCAAACGAGAGTGAGTGTGTGCTATTCATCAGAGTGATGTTTAAAAACGAGCGAACAAAGTGACGACCACAACACAGCCGGCCTCAGCCTTTGAAAGTACGAGTGTGACTGGAGGGGTGGGCAAACCTCTTTAGATAGGGATCAGGTAATGTGTCCTGTTTTGTTGTTTATGACTTACTGCCTAATTCCACCAGATGAGTGTTTTGTGGATGAACTACAGCAGTTATGCAAGGCTTCTATTTTTGCCGGATACCGGCGCACGGTGCATCAATTTACCACAGAAGAGATCGAACGGGAAGTTAAAACACCCAGTTTATTTTCAGAATCAAACACTCCATTTTGATGGTTGGGAGCAAAGACCAAATGTGTGTTTGTTGCATGGTTTGTTGTTGTGTTTATGAGGGTTTTATACGGTTTTATATCACATACATTTTATTATCTCGCGGCGTTACGAGGGAATCTGTAATTACTGCAGGAACTCCTTGTTCTTGGGACTCCAGCCGTCCGGCGTCGCTGCTACTTGCTGCGCTCTGAGAACGCAGCTCGTCGATGGACGAGGGAGCCCAGAGCCGTAATTGAAACAAAATGCACACGTATCTGATGGAAGTTCTGTTAACTTTGTTCCATGTTATGTTTGAAAGAGCTCTCACACAAACAGAAATTGTTCATAAATGTTGAGTTTATTGAAGGATTTTAAGGCCGCTTTTGACAAAAACATTGTTTACATACAGACAAACAGCAAGCGCCTATACTCTGGCTTTGTTGCACTATAAGCTACAACTTTTGTATATGTATAAACTTGATCGTCACGTTATATGAATTGTGCAGATATTAACTGCTCTATGACTGCATATCAGCCTTATACCTTCTTTTTCCAGGATATGATTAACCACCATATTTGACTACCCTTACTCGTTTCTTTTTCTTAACTGTTTTCTTTGTAACTGACCATTTATCATACTACTTTATTTAAATGTAAGTTTCCCCTGAACACGAAATAATAATAATAAAAAACAACAACAATAAACGCCACAATTTGCTTCAAACACATTTATAAAAATATAACTTTTGAGGTGGACTTCGGAGAGACAGTATGACAGCTTGCTAGCTTAGCTAACAGGCTGGTAACTAGCCAACAGGTTATTTCCTTAGATTCAGTCGATGTTAATTGTGAAATAAACCTTTTCTAGTTTTAAGACATTGTGAGTGATGTTAGTTTTCTAAAATATGGTAATATATTATATACAGTCAGATTGTCTTTATCATTTTGATATTCTCCAAACACATATTCCAAACTACTGGATGATGCACTTCCTTAGGTTTAACACTAGGAGGCATCATCTGTGTGAATATATATACAGCATATACATTTAAAAGTTGTATTAGACATACTTTATTACGGACCTCAGGACAGGCATTAATGGAGATATGTCGGATTACAAGCATTTGTATGCAATTTTCTAAGGACTTAAAATTGTGACTTTGCACAAACATCTTGGTTTTAGAGTCCCTAAAGAATCATGCTAAGAAGATTCATATGTTGCCAAATTTTGTTAAATAAGTCAGTACCTCAGGGGGGACACCCCAGTTAAAAAAGTCTGGACACACCCCTGTATCTGCTTGTTGTTGGCACTGTAAAATCCTGACATATTTAAATTTGAAGAAGTAAAAAAACAAAAAAAAAAATATTATATCTTAAACATAAAATAATCAGATAATCATCCCTACAGGAGATTTTTTTCTAGTTGAGTATTTATTAATTTACCAATAATATTTATTTGAAAATCCTAAACTTGAGCTTGATTAAGATGAGATTTTTGATCATATTGTCTTATGTACGGAAGTGGACAGATACATATTTATTTTTTGACTCTGTTTTCCTGATGATTCGATATTTCCAATAATTTTCCAAGATTTTCGTTTATTTATGTCGATATCTCTAAATGGCAACTCTGTGATATGGAGTTAATTTGTCAAGACCTCAAGAAAACGACTGTAATTCACTCATATCAGAGAAAACCAGACATGTTAACCTTCTGTACTTTTGCCTGCTATTTGTGTAGTATGTTTTGTTGTTGCATCATTTCTATGTTTTGTTTTGCTTGGTGATCGGGTAACACTGTAGGCACCTGAGGTTATATACTGTAGGTAGATTTGCAGCTCTAGAGGACCAGCATGCACCTGGGTGGGCCCATGGTTTAAAGCAGCAGGAGCCATGATTTTCTTTTTTTGATTGCTTGCTTGATTTTGGATAAAATTATGTACAAATGTTGATCCCTTGCATGGACAAAAACTTATTTTGTCTGCGTACAGCACATCCCTGCTGTGCCTCAGTGACCGTCTGATCATGTTTGATTTAAACGTTATTAACATTTCTTGGACAAATAGCCACTAAAATCACATTCATGTCATTTTAACTCAAAGCTTGGATCGATCAGAAGAATGACTCCGATGACGCTCAACGTTCTTGTGAGTTAAAGTTGATCCAGAAGTTGTTGATCAGTGCACTTCAGCAGCAGGAGGGCGTGCTTCTACATTTTCATAGGTGAGTTCGATGACATCCTCATCATCTTCCTCATGCACCTGTGAAATAAAACACAACAAGTGAGAGTCTGAGAAAAATGTGTCAACAGAGCAAACTGCAGCACCGTCTATGGTCTCACAGGTATCATCAAAGTCAAAGGAATCCTTACATTACATTTTTCAAATCATTCAAGTTAGTTTTAAACTCACATTGTTTCCTTTGTGCAGTGATTTGATGTAGCCTGGAAATAAAGTTTTAAAAAAGCAGTATTAATGTTCTATGAATTATTCATATTATCCAGTCGTATCAAATTCATGCCGTTTGTTTCCTCACCTCTGAGGCTGAAGACCAAAGCTGTGGTCACGATCATTAAGATGAGAGCTGAAAAACGCAGAGCCAGCATGATGTAGCTCAGAGAAGACCAGAGTGAGGCTTATAAGGAAAAAAAAAAAAATCAGTCAATGAGTATCTGCAAAAAGCTAAATAGCCAGTTTGTCAGGGAGGAAGATTATTTAATTGTTTGAAATATCAATACAGCTGTTAAAAAAAAATCTTTAAAGCTACAACAACTTTGTCTTTGTTTCCTCTCATCATTCTTCCTCTACCTCTCTAAAGTCGCTCGTCAATTTTAGCTGTCAGGGAGTTTTAAAAAGGCGAAAGTATCCACTCCTACGCCGATGACAGACAGCTCTACTTCAGCACCAAACTCACCCCCACTCCCTGGTCCATCCAAACCTGGATGGGAACCAATTTCCTCAAACTCAATAAGAATAAAGCTGAGCTCATGGTTTTGGTCCCAGAGGCGCTGCTCAGGGAGGTTGGTGGCATCTTACTGGAATCTAACGGGGGCTCCATCTACCCATCCTCTGAGGTCCCAGCCTGGGCGTCATCCTGGCCTCAACCCTCTTATTCCACTCCCACATCAAATCTGTCACTAAATCTGCTTCTTCCATCTAAACAATGTATCTGGACTCCGGCCATCACTCTCTGACTCCATGGCAGAAAACCCTCACCCACGCCTTTATAACCTCCCGTCTGGACTAGTGTAACAGAGTCCTGTAGCTATTTTCCCAACAATTGTTTTGGTCACCTATTAACGGGCGCTGTTGCTTTTTGATCGTGTACACTCACCTTCTACTCTGCAGTAAACACAGCGCACACCGTGTTCTTTCTGAAATGCCTTTAACTGTGGTGTATGACAAGACATAATGATGTCATGTCCCTGTTTGGTGTAGAGAAGACTTTTCGCTTGAGTGATGCCTCCTGGAAAGAGAGTAGGTTTTTTTTCTATGACTTAAATATAGTAAGTTAGTAACCTTTGGTTGGTGGACCAGGATTAGAACCAGGATCAGGATTAGAACCAGGATCAGGATTAGAACCAGGATCAGGATCTGTGATCAGAGGATTGAGTTTAATTACAACGTATACATCCACTTGTTTTCTCAAAATACATTATCAAGGACATAAGACTACTTCATTACAATCCATTTACAGAATATTGAACATGTTTTGGGTCATAGTTGGATTTTCTTTTTGGTCTTTATGGACTCACTGATCCTACATGGTCCTACCTATGAGGTCAGGTGGGTAGTCAGCCTGTATCTCCACTTTATTCCTCTGAACAAACTGGCAGGTGAATTTCCTGTTGTCTCCACTCTGATTCTTCACCTTCAGATGAGAGACGCAGTCTGTACCTCTGGAAAGCTTTTGGACACCTTCAGTAACCTCAGTTCCTGTCTCGTCCAACCAGTGGAGGCCGTTTGGTTGACAAGGGCGACCATCGATGTATCTCAACAGAGAGCACTCTAATGTGACTTCACTGTTCCTCGTTTGATCAGAGTCTGCTGGAAGCTGAGAGACTGAAAGACAAAAATAACTCAGTTAAAGAAATATTTGACATCCACTGAAAAGTCAGAACTTTCCTTAAAACACCTTGATATGTGTCTGTTCATCTTTAGTCATGCCATCTTCAGTACCTTGTCAAAAACCACAATCTAGACCCTCTGTTTGTTCTAACTGTATTCTTCCTTTTCTGTCTAACCTATTTAAACAAAATAGACTTAACACAGCATGGAGTACAAATGTATTACAAACTGAAACCAGAACACTTTCCATGCTGAAAACCCGGACCCCCTGTGTTCAGATTCTACATTCTTATGTAGAGACAAATAATACATTAAGAGATTAAGCTCAATTGCAACTCCATTTTCAATTTTCCAAATGCTTGTGGGACTCTAAAAAAGTGATTACCATAAGAAAGGAGAAGTTAAAATCCAGGTTTTTAAAATAGTTTATCCAGATATCAACTGGCTACACCAACACAGTCTGTAAGCCTCAGAGGATAAAGCACAGTTAAACAAAAGCTGATGTGTTCGTAGGTTGAGCAACAAAATGCAATATTTCATCCAGAAAAACAACGTGCCAAAATTATCTGGATAATCATAGAAATAAGACCTACCTGTCAGAAGACTTAGAAACACATTGACATCAAACTCGAACTGCTGCTCCAGTCGACACGTGTAGAAACCAACATCCTCAGCAGTGATGTGTTTAATGACCAAAGAGCAGTTTGAGTCCAAACTCAGCCTGTCAGCTCGGAGTGACGTCTTCTCAATCTTTCCTCTGCTTGCCTCAATTAAAGTGTGTGATGAATCTCTGTTATAAAGCCATGACATCCTGGAGCACTGTGGAGGTTGATTTTTAATGCCACAGGGCAGAGTGACATCTTGATCAGGGTGGTAGAAGCGATAGAGATGTTCTCGATTGTCAGACCTCACTGGAAAACAAAAAGGAGAACTGTAAGAATTAGATGAACATTAAAATATCTCTCTGGAGAGAAATGATAAGGTTTTGTTTTTATTTTGTTTTAAAAAAGGACCATAAGACCATAAATAACCATGTGACACCAACATCAGCTGTGTCACTTCCACTTATCCTCCTCCTCTGACATCGATCTGCACACTGCTTACATAAATGTTTTATTATCATGTTTATATCAGCACCCTTTGCACTCCTCATCACCACTATTGTCTTATGTAGGCTTGTATTTATTAGTGTGTTGGTTATTTTTAGCTTTCAAATGACGTCACCATGGACTGTAAATATTAATGTTTGAAGCCTGAGTGATGTCAACCATCTGTTCCTGCAGGGGGCACCAGAGGCTCATCGGTCCATCCTGTCTCAGTCTAACTTTCAGTCAACCTAAAGACAGGCTGAGAGCTGGAGCTCAGGCAGGTTTTAACAAACCGTTACATCGCCCCCAACTGTCAATCATGTCAGCTGCGTGCCTCACTATGGATAACACGTATCGTTTATGAAATCAAAACGGATGAGTTGTAAAAAAAATCACCCCCCCATGTGCCGCTATATATATATACCTTTTGGGACCTTTAGTTTCCCCTGAACTTCAAATTATGAATCGATATGTTGTTTAGAATTGCCTCTTAATAGTTGTTGTTTTGATGTGTGTGCTCTCAACCAGGAAGCAGATGTTTATTTGTTTGTTGATTTGTGGATTCAGAGCTGACGTCATGATGATGATTGGTTGCAGGCTTGTAGCCACCTCCTGTTTAAGATGTTAGAAGAACTGTTTTCCTGATGAAGGTCCGGTACCACTAAGACATTTCAGTCAGGAATACTCTCATCATAGATTTCACCATTTATTGTACTTATGGTTACAGTTGTATTTGGCGGTATTGTTTCTGTTCTTAGCTCTCAGCAGTATCAGTGCAGCGTGCCACAGATCTTTGCTGAGAGCGCAAACATTTCAACATTTCAACATAAAAACCGTAATCTGTAAGAGCAGAAGTATTAACTATGTTTGTTACATGTAAGCGATGGTAAGGCATTTAAATAAAATGTTTTATCATTTGTCACACTTAATTTTTTAAATTTCTAAAACTGATTTCAAAGATAATCACCAGTTTTACAGTAACCAGATCCTTCTGATCCTTAATAGCTACGAAAAAACATGAATACTTATCAAAATATCTAGACTCAGGAGACTTTATGAACCACAGGAGTAATGGAGAGTACACATATTATTTATATTTCCTTAAGTACATCTGCTGACCTCTGATTACATGTAAGAATCTCTCCAAAAAAAGGAATTCTACCCTTCTGACAAAACTTTTGATGAACTTTTAAAGTCCTAAAAGAGGCTTAAGGGGTGCCATTTGCCTAGCGGTTAGGTCGTGGAGGCAAAAATAGATCTTAAAAAAGAGGCATGATAATAATGTTTCTTGTAGTCATGAAAATATCACAATAAGTCAAAGTACAACATGTATTTAAAAAGAAAAGAGCTTTACCTTCAAACAGAAGAGCAAAAACAATGATTAGTTCCAGTCGAGCCATTCTCTGTCCATTCTCTGTCAGCGCTCGTTTGCTCTGACTTTAAACCCACATTGATCTGATGTGAGGCAAACGCTGCAGTTTCCTCTTTGAGGTTGAACTAATGTGTTAAAATAACTTTAAAAGACTACCCTTCCTCCCAACGAGCCTATCGCAGGGCCCACAAGCTTTCATCTTCACCATGTTGCTATTAACAGACTTCTCAAGAAACGCGGAAAAAAAAAAAAGTTTCACAAAATGTCGACGTTTCAGATGAACAGATAACCAATAATGAGCATTACACTTTCTTTTATGGTGAAGTTGTTAAACAGAAAAACTTAAACAGAAGTAATATAATGTTTTAAATAAGTGAACATGCATTTAAAGAAATCAAACACAGATCAGATCATCTTTAAAGTAAGAATGTGCAACGTTTGACACACAAGTGGTTTCCATGGTTGCTTCTTCTTTCTGCTATCTTGGGGATTTGCAAACCAACTATACTGCCACCTGCTGTAATGGACTGTGTACTCGGGCATGGAACGATGTTAATTATGTGAACGCAGACCAGCGGGGCAGAGGGAAGGGGGTGGTCAGGCACTGGGCGTCATCCTGGCCTCAACCCTCTTATTCCACTCCCACATCAAATCTGTCACTAAATCTGCTTCTTCCATCTAAACAATGTATCTGGACTCCGGCCATCACTCTCTGACTCCATGGCAGAAAACCCTCACCCACGCCTTCATAACCTCCCGTCTGGACTAGTGTAACAGAGTCCTGTAGCTATTTTCCCAACAATTGTTTCGGTCACCTATTAACGGGCGCTGTTGCTTTTTGATCGTGTACACTCACCTTCTACTCTGCAGTAAACACAGCGCACACCGTGTCCTTTCTGAAATGCCTTTAACTGTGGTGTATGACAAGACATAATGATGTCATGTCCCTGTTTGGTGTAGAGAAGACTTTTCGCTTGAGTGATGCCTCCTGGAAAGAGAGTAGCTTTTTTTTCTTATGACTTAAATATAGTAAGTTAGTAACCTTTAGTTGGTGGACCAGGATTAGAACCAGGATCAGGATTAGAACCAGGATCAGGACTAGAACCAGGATCAGGATTAGAACCAGGATCAGGATTAGAACCAGGATCAGGATTAGAACCAGGATCAGGATCTGTGATCAGAGGATTGAGTTTAATTACAACATATACATCCACTTGTTTTCTCAAAATACATTATCAAGGACATAAGACTACTTCATTACAATCCATTTACAGAATATTGAACATGTTTTGGGTCATAGTTTGGATTTTCTTTTTGGTCTTTATGGACTCACTGATCCTACATGGTCCTACCTGTGAGGTCAGGTGGGTAGTCAGCCTGTATCTCCACTTTATTCCTCTGAACAAACTGGCAGGTGAATTTCCTGTTGTCTCCACTCTGATTCTTCACCTTCAGATGAGAGACGCAGTCTGTACCTCTGGAAAGCTTTTGGACACCTTCAGTAACCTCAGTTCCTGTCTCGTCCAACCAGCGGAGGCCGTTTGGTTGACAAGGGGGACGATTGTTGTATCTCAACAGAGAGCACTCTAATGTGACTTCACTGTTCCTCGTTTGATCAGAGTCTGCTGGAAGCTGAGAGACTGAAAGACAAAAATAACTCAGTTAAAGAAATATTTGACATCCACTGAAAAGTCAGAACTTTCCTTAAAACACCCTGATATGTGTCTGTTCATCTTTAGTCATGCCATCTTCAGTACCTTGTCAAAAACCACAATCTAGACCCTCTGTTTGTTCTAACTGTATTCTTCCTTTTCTGTCTAACCTATTTAAACAAAATAGACTTAACACAGCATGGAGTACAAATGTATTACAAACTGAAACCAGAACACTTTCCATGCTGAAAACCCGGACCCCCTGTGTACAGATTCTACATTCTTATGTAGAGACAAATAATACATTAAGAGATTAAGCTCAATTGCAACTCCATTTTCAATTTTCCAAATGCTTGTGGGACTCTAAAAAAGTGATTACCATAAGAAAGGAGAAGTTAAAATCCAGGTTTTTAAAATAGTTTATCCAGATATCAACTGGCTACACCAACACAGTCTGTAAGCCTCAGAGGATAAAGCACAGTTAAACAAAAGCTGATGTGTTCGTAGGTTGAGCAACAAAATGCAATAATTCATCCAGAAAAACAACGTGCCAAAATTATCTGGATAATCATAGAAATAAGACCTACCTGTCAGAAGACTTAGATACACATTGACATCAAACTCTAACTGCTGCTCCAGTCGACACGTGTAGCGACCAACATCCTCAGCAGTGATGTGTTTAATGACCAAAGAGCAGTCTGAGTCCAAACTCAGCCTGTCAGCTCGGAGTGACTCCTCGTTAATCTTTTCTCTGCTTGCCTCAGTTAAAGTCTGTGATGTATCTCTGTTATAAAGCCATGACATCCTGGAGCACTGTGGAGGTTGATTTTTAATGCCACAGGGCAGAGTGACATCTTGATCAGTGTGGTAGAAGCGATAGAGCTCTTCTTGACTGTTGCCCACTAGAAAACAAAAAGGAGAACTGTAAGAATTAGATGAACATTAAAATATCTCTCTGGAGAGAAATGATAAGGTTTTGTTTTTATTTTGTTTTAAAAAAGGACCATAAGACCATAAATAACCATGTGACACCAACATCAGCTGTGTCACTTCCACTTATCCTCCTCCTCTGACATCGATCTGCACACTGCTTACATAAATGTTTTATTATCATGTTTATATCAGCACCCTTTGCACTCCTCATCACCACTATTGTCTTATGTAGGCTTGTATTTATTAGTGTGTTGGTTATTTTTAGCTTTCAAATGACGTCACCATGGACTGTAAATATTAATGTTTGAAGCCTGAGTGATGTCACCCATCTGTTCCTGCAGGGGGCACCAGAGGCTCATCAGTCCATCCTGTCTCAGTCTAACTTTCAGTCAACCTAAAGACAGGCTGAGAGCTGGAGCTCAGGCAGGTTTTAACAAACCGTTACATCGCCCCCAACTGTCAATCATGTCAGCTGCGTGCCTAACTATGGATAACACGTATCGTTTATGAAATCAAAACGGATGAGTTGTAAAAGAAATCACCCCCCATGTGCCGCTATATATATATACCTTTTGGGACCTTTAGTTTCCCCTGAACTTCAAATTATGAATCGATATGTTGTTTAGAATTGCCTCTTAATAGTTGTTGTTTTGATGTGTGTGCTCTCAACCAGGAAGCAGATGTTTATTTGTTTGTTGATTTGTGGATTCAGAGCTGACGTCATGATGATGATTGGTTGCAGGCTTGTAGCCACCTCCTGTTTAAGATGTTAGAAGAACTGTTTTCCTGATGAAGGTCCGGTACCACTAAGACATTTCAGTCAGGAATACTCTCGTCATAGATTTCACCATTTATTGTACTTATGGTTACAGTTGTATTTGGCGGTATTGTTTCTGTTCTTAGCTCTCAGCAGTATCAGTGCAGCGTGCCACAGATCTTTGCTGAGAGCGCAAACATTTCAACATTTCAACATAAAAACCGTAATCTGTAAGAGCAGAAGTATTAACTATGTTTGTTACATGTAAGCGATGGTAAGGCATTTAAATAAAATGTTTTATCATTTGTCACACTTAATTTTTTAAATTTCTAAAACTGATTTCAAAGATAATCACCAGTTTTACAGTAACCAGATCCTTCTGATCCTTAATAGCTACGAAAAAACATGAATACTTATCAAAATATCTAGACTCAGGAGACTTTATGAACCACAGGAGTAATGGAGAGTACACATATTATTTATATTTCCTTAAGTACATCTGCTGACCTCTGATTACATGTAAGAATCTCTCCAAAAAAAGGAATTCTACGCTTATGACAAAACTTTTGATGAACTTTTAAAGTCCTAAAAGAGGCTTAAGGGGTGCCGTTTGCCTAGCGGTTAGGTCGTGGAGGCAAAAATAGATCTTAAAAAAGAGGCATGATAATAATGTTTCTTGTAGTCATGAAAATATCACGATAAGTCAAAGTACAACATGTATTTAAAAAGAAAAGAGCTTTACCTTCAAACAGAAGAGCAAAAACAATGATTAGTTCCAGTCGAGCCATTCTCTGTCCATTCTCTGTCAGCGCTCGTTTGCTCTGACTTTAAACCCACATTGATCTGATGTGAGGCAAACGCTGCAGTTTCCTCTTTGAGGTTGAACTAATGTGTTAAAATAACTTTAAAAGACTACCCTTCCTCCCAATGAGCCTATCGCAGGGCCCACAAGCTTTCATCTTCACCATGTTGCTATTAACAGACTTCTCAAGAAACGCGGAAAAAAAAAAAAAAAAGTTTCACAAAATGTCGACGTTTCAGATGAACAGATAACCAATAATGAGCATTACACTTCCTTTTATGGTGAAGTTGTTAAACAGAAAAACTCAAACAGAAGTAATATAATGTTTTAAATAAGTGAACATGCATTTAAAGAAATCAAACACAGATCAGATCATCTTTAAAGTAAGAATGTGTAACGTTTGACACACAAGTGGTTTCCATGGTTGCTTCTTCTTTCTGCTATCTTGGGGATTTGCAAACCAACTATACTGCCACCTGCTGTAATGGACTGTGTACTCGGGCATGGAACGATGTTAATTATGTGAACGCAGACCAGCGGGGCAGAGGGAAGGGGGTGGTCAGGCACTGGGCGTCATCCTGGCCTCAACCCTCTTATTCCACTCCCACATCAAATCTGTCACTAAATCTGCTTCTTCCATCTAAACAATGTATCTGGACTCCGGCCATCACTCTCTGACTCCATGGCAGAAAACCCTCACCCACGCCTTCATAACCTCCCGTCTGGACTAGTGTAACAGAGTCCTGTAGCTATTTTCCCAACAATTGTTTCGGTCACCTATTAACGGGCGCTGTTGCTTTTTGATCGTGTACACTCACCTTCTACTCTGCAGTAAACACAGCGCACACCGTGTCTTTCTGAAATGCCTTTAACTGTGGTGTATGACAAGACATAATGATGTCATGTCCCTGTTTGGTGTAGAGAAGACTTTTCGCTTGAGTGATGCCTCATGGAAAGAGAGTAGCTTTTTTTTCTTATGACTTAAATATAGTAAGTTAGTAACCTTTAGTTGGTGGACCAGGATTAGAACCAGGATCAGGATTAGAACCAGGATCAGGATTAGAACCAGGATCAGGACTAGAACCAGGATCAGGATTAGAACCAGGATCAGGATCTGTGATCAGAGGATTGAGTTTAATCACAACGTATACGTCCACTTGTTTTCTCAAAATACATTATCAAGGACATAAGACTACTTCATTACAATCCATTTACAGAATATTGAACATGTTTTGGGTCATATTTGGATTTTCTTTTTGGTCTTTATGGACTCACTGATCCTACATGGTCCTACCTGTGAGGTCAGGTGGGTAGTCAGCCTGTATCTCCACTTTATTCCTCTGAACAAACTGGCAGGTGAATTTCCTGTTGTCTCCACTCTGATTCTTCACCTTCAGATGAGAGACGCAGTCTGTACCTCTGGAAAGCTTTTGGACACCTTCAGTAACCTCAGTTCCTGTCTCGTCCAACCAGTGGAGGCCGTTTGGTTGACAAGGGCGACGATTGTTGTATGTCAACAGAGAGCACTCTAATGTGACTTCACTGTTCCTCGTTTGATCAGAGTCTGCTGGAAGCTGAGAGACTGAAAGAAAATAATCAATAACTCAGTTAAAGAATATTTGACATCCTATAAGAAATTGGCGACTAACTTAAAAGATCCTTTCAAATTTCTGTTTTGCTTTGTGGAAACATTTAAAGTTCATTTATCAGCAGTTAATATGCAAATCACTTTAGTTTAAGCAGAAGGTACTTTGTCAAGATCACATCTTTTGAAGTTTGTGCAGCTTAGAGGGTCCCTAATGTTTAGGTCTGTCCCCTGTGACAGTGAGGCCTTCAGTATGAGGAGTTTGTGTTAATGAAAGAGGTGTCTCCATTACTACTACTGTAGATACATGATGGTATCTGTTAACCCTCTGGTGTAGCTCCTGTTCAGTGGCTACAGCAGAGCTGTGGGTTAATGGGAGGGATCAGTTTGCAGACTCCTAGTAGAGTGTAGTGACTAATTTGGATCTGTTCAGACCCAGGCCAGGGCCAGAGTTGAGGAGTGGCTGAAGCAGAGCTGTACCAATTTCAAACATTGTCTCTCCTTTCTTGAGTTTGTAGTTTCTAGTAGGAATCTGAACCAGCAGATGGAAGAGGAAGTTTAAGCTCAGATGTTTTGAAGCCCATTTGACAGATAATAACTCATTTGTACCGAGATGGAGCGCAATGCAATATTTCTGTCCCAAAAACATGCAAAAATTCTCTTTTGGTAATCATGGAAGATAAACATGCTTGTGACACTTATACCACAGATACCTCATAAAGATAGGCATCATAAACCAGCAGACATGTGCAGAGACCCACATCCTCAGCAGTGATACCTGCCTTAGTTTTAGCTTCACTGCACTGGTTGCCAATCTCCTTTAGAAGGATTTTAACATTTTACTGACAATTTACAAATCCCTTCGTGGCCTTGCACCCGATTATTTAAATGAGCTTTAACTCCCGACTGCTCAAGCCTGCTCGCCGGACCCGAGTCAAGGTTGAGGTCAAAGGGTGATCGGGCCTTTTCAGTTATGGCGGCTCGGCTCAGGGACATTCTTCCACTTTCCATTCATCCGTTCAGCTGACTCTGTTTCTGCTTTTAAAGCCAGCCTTAAACCTAATTTTAGCAGACAGATCATTTAATCAGAGCTCCGGCGTGCAGATTTGAACTCTCCTGTTTTAATGTTTTTACTTTCATTAGTCTTTTTTTTCTTTAACTGTATCTCTGAATCTTTGCTGTTTATGTATCTGTAATTGGAAACGTCTTTTTTAAATTACTTCTGTTCTGAACCCGTCTTGAAAAGTGCTCCACAAAAAAAGTATAATTATTATTATAGGTTTATTGATCTAGGGAGAAGTCAAGAATTAGACCGTACCTTTTAGGTTGAGCACAAAAAAACATGCCAAAGATTATCTAGATAATCGTAGAAATAAGACGTACCTGTCAGAATACTTAGAAACACAAGGACATAAAACTTGAACTCCTGTTCCAGCTGACACGCGTAGAAACCAGCATCCTCAGCAGTGATGTGTTTAATGACCAAAGAGCAGTCTGAGTCTAAACTCAGCCTGTCAGCTCGGGGTGACGTCTTCTCAATCTTTCCATCCTTTGCCTCAGAAAAAGTCCCTGATGAATTTCTCTTATAAAGCCATGAAATCCCGGAGCACTGTGGAGGTTGATTTTGAATGCCACAGGGCAGAGCGACATCTTGATCAGGGTGGTAGAAGGGATAGAGCTCTTCTTGACTGTAGCCCACTAGAAAACAAAAAGGAGAACTGTATCAATCTTTGCACACTGCTTCCATAACTATTTTATCATCATGTTTATTTCAGCATCCTTTGCACTCCTCACCACCGCACTCTTGTCTTATGTAGGCTTGTATTTATTAGCGTGTTGGTTATTTATAGTGTTCACATGACGTCTTTTAAGCTGTTTTTTTTTTTTAACATATGAAAGACAGTTGTTAATTTGTGACGGACTGACTAACGAGGAGATGAGCCAGCTTTACTCAACAGAATTGAATTAGAGAAAGAAAACCCAGAGAGGAGGAGATTGTGGAGTTAAGCTGTTAAGACACTCTGCTGTCTCTGTGAGGGAACAAAAGAATCTCCTCATCCTTACAACAAATATCATGTCAACTTGATCCACATATTTCTGCCTTTTAGCGGACATTACTAACTTAAAGTGACAGCTGACAGTCATCCTGATATTATCATTAACACATGTTACAGAGGGGAGCTGATAAGCACGCATATTTGGTAGAAGCTCTGGGGGTTTGAGTCTGACCCATAGCCCCTCACTCCCGACTCTCTGTCCTCTAACTGACCTCTCTGTGCTCTCTAATGGAGGCGTAAAGGCACAAAAATAGATTTTAAGAAAATAGGCTTGACAATAGTGTTTCTGGTAGTAATATTTCCCACTACAGTTTCTATAATGGAGTCATAAAAATATCACGATAAGTCAAAGTACAACATGTATTTAAAAAGAAAAGAGCTTTACCTTCAAACAGAAGAGCAAAAACAATGATTAGTTCCAGTCGAGCCATTCTCTGTCCATTCTCTGTCAGCGCTCGTTTGCTCTGACTTTAAACCACATTGATCTGATGTGAGGTAAACGCTGCAGTTTCCTCTTTGAGGTTGAACTAATGTGTTAAAATAACTTTCAAGCAACTGCCTCTCCTTCCATCGAGCTTGTCGCAAGGCCCACAAGCTTTCATCATCAACTTGTTCCTCTTAAAAGACTTCTCACAGCACGCGGGGGGGGGGGGATGATCCAAGACGGGAATATTTTATCTTTAAACATAAACATCAGGGTCTCTGTTTATACTTTTATTTTATCCTTGCTAAATATATATTTCATTAAGCTGTAAGTGGATAGTTGAGCATTTTTGTATCATCCAAAGTGTTATTTTGGATGATTGAAGAACTGCTCTGAACATTTTCAGCCTTTAGTTTGCAAAGTTTTCTGCATTAAATCCTGTATCAGAGTATAATATGACTGATGATTATACTATCAAGGTTTTTAGGTAAGTCCCCCTTTCCTTCCACCTGTAGCCCTGTCTGGCTGCTGGCCTAAAGAAATACAGCACAGATAATGAATACACCCCAGAGAGGACTATTTATCTCACAGCATAGGGTAATGAAAATGTTGTTGTTTCTGGTGTAGCTCCTGTTCAGTGGCTACAGCAGAGCTGTGGGTTAATGGGAGGTTAATGTGGGTGTAATCAAAAGAGGAAGTGGCACGTTTGGTAAGAAGCATGCTCGACCTGTGGGCAAATATTAACTGGAAACATGAACTACAGCTGAGAGAGGTGATGAAATCATTCTTTTTGATAAACACTAAGCAGTGTGAGAGAGACGTAATCACTAGTCTCCAGAGCCCATCCCATAGACAATAACAATATATGTTACCTCTTTTTAGCCAGTGCTTTAGTCTCTCTAATGGCCAGTAGGGGGCTTCTCCACTGGCTGCTGAAACTAAGTTGATTGCATAGATGTCTCTGAGAAAATGACCTTGTTTCTCACATGTTTTATAACCAAAGTAAAAAAATATGTTTTCCTAAAAGGTTTTCTGGTTTGTATGTCTTTTCTCTAAACTAAAGATGTAAATGTTGACGTCAAATCTCTTCAGAGTTATATACCATCAGTATGGACTTGATGGAACGTTGTTTGAGTTCATGGCTTCACTTTCCTTTGGTACCTGCAGTGGAGTTTTTCTTGTTGTCTCAAGTGGAAGCACTGTTGTCTTTTTCTTTTATTTTACTGTCTTCAACAGTTCAACAGTCTGTTCTGTTGATGTCATCATCAGATAGAAAGTTTTGTGGGCGTAATATTAAAGGTGGAGTAACTAGCATTTCTCATTGCAGCCTGTAAACACAACATTCAAAACGGGGCCCCTCCTCCTGGGCTCATCGCTCCCAGAAGCGCACACTCACTGCAGGACGTGGTGTGTACTTGTACTGCTTGTAGCTACAATGCAAGCTACCGCACCGCATGCTAGCTCAAGCTAACCACCAGTGTTTGGGATCCGCTCGTCCAACAGAAAGCAGACCAACTCCACGTCTTCGGGTGAAGGCTAACACAAGATTCACCCTCATTTCTAAATGAGCTCGGTCCACGTCCGTCATATTCAGTTTGAATCGTGTCCAAGCACTGAATTGAATCCACTCCTAAACTCACTTGCGCATTAGGAAACACATCAGCTCCCCGCCCAGAAACTCTCCGTGTCAAAAGAAAGCATCAAAATCCAGACTGACTCTATCTTTAACGATGTGACAGTATTTAAAAACTTAAGAAGAAGTTCTGTATTTTATGAAAAGCTTGTGTAGAATGTCTCAGGGAATACTTTGTTTCTCTAGTTTCAATAATTAGAGAACATCAGGTATCCAGTGTGCAAACGAGAGTAAGTGTGTGCTATTCATCAGAGTGATATTTAAAAACGAGCGAACAAAGTGACGACCACAACACAGCCGGCCTCAGCCTTTGAAAGTACGAGTGTGACTGGAGGGGTGGGCAAACCTCTTTAGATAGGGATCAGGTAATGTGTCCTGTTTTGTTGTTTATGACTTACTGCCTAATTCCACCAGATGAGTGTTTTGTGGATGAACTACAGCAGTTATGCAAGGCTTCTATTTTTGCCGGATACCGGTGCACGGTGCATCAATTTACCACAGAAGAGATCGAACGGGAAGTTAAAACACCCAGTTTATTTTCAGAATCAAACACTCCATTTTGATGGTTGGGAGCAAAGACCAAATGTGTGTTTGTTGCATGGTTTGTTGTTGTGTTTATGAGGGTTTTATACGGTTTTATATCACATACATTTTATTATCTCGCGGCGTTACGAGGGAATCTGTAATTACTGCAGGAACTCCTTGTTCTTGGGACTCCAGCCGTCCGGCGTCGCTGCTACTTGCTGCGCTCTGAGAACGCAGCTCGTCGATGGACGAGGGAGCCCAGAGCCGTAATTGAAACAAAATGCACACGTATCTGATGGAAGTTCTGTTAACTTTGTTCCATGTTATGTTTGAAAGAGCTCTCACACAAACAGAAATTGTTCATAAATGTTGAGTTTATTGAAGGATTTTAAGGCCGCTTTTGACAAAAACATTGTTTACATACAGACAAACAGCAAGCGCCTATACTCTGGCTTTGTTGCACTATAAGCTACAACTTTTGTATATGTATAAACTTGATCGTCACGTTATATGAATTGTGCAGATATTAACTGCTCTATGACTGCATATCAGCCTTATACCTTCTTTTTCCAGGATATGATTAACCACCATATTTGACTACCCTTACTCGTTTCTTTTTCTTAACTGTTTTCTTTGTAACTGACCATTTATCATACTACTTTATTTAAATGTAAGTTTCCCCTGAGCACGAAATAATAATAATAAAAAACAACAACAATAAACGCCACAATTTGCTTCAAACACATTTATAAAAATATAACTTTTGAGGTGGACTTCGGAGAGACAGTATGACAGCTTGCTAGCTTAGCTAACAGGCTGGTAACTAGCCAACAGGTTATTTCCTTAGATTCAGTCGATGTTAATTGTGAAATAAACCTTTTCTAGTTTTAAGACATTGTGAGTGATGTTAGTTTTCTAAAATATGGTAATATATTATATACAGTCAGATTGTCTTTATCATTTTGATATTCTCCAAACACATATTCCAAACTACTGGATGATGCACTTCCTTAGGTTTAACACTAGGAGGCATCATCTGTGTGAATATATATACAGCATATACATTTAAAAGTTGTATTAGACATACTTTATTACGGACCTCAGGACAGGCATTAATGGAGATATGTCGGATTACAAGCATTTGTATGCAATTTTCTAAGGACTTAAAATTGTGACTTTGCACAAACATCTTGGTTTTAGAGTCCCTAAAGAATCATGCTAAGAAGATTCATATGTTGCCAAATTTTATTAAATAAGTCAGTACCTCAGGGGGGACACCCCAGTTAAAAAAGTCTGGACACACCCCTGTATCTGCTTGTTGTTGGCACTGTAAAATCCTGACATATTTAAATTTGAAGAAGTAAAAAAACAAAAAAAAAAATATTATATCTTAAACATAAAATAATCAAATAATCATCCCTACAGGAGATTTTTTTCTAGTTGAGTATTTATTAATTTACCAATAATATTTATTTGAAAATCCTAAACTTGAGCTTGATTAAGATGAGATTTTTGATCATATTGTCTTATGTACGGAAGTGGACAGATACATATTTATTTTTTGACTCTGTTTTCCTGATGATTCGATATTTCCAATAATTTTCCAAGATTTTCGTCTTATTTATGTCGATATCTCTAAATGGCAACTCTGTGATATGGAGTTAATTTGTCAAGACCTCAAGAAAACGACTGTAATTCACTCATATCAGAGAAAACCAGACATGTTAACACTTCTGTACTTTTGCCTGCTATTTGTGTAGTATGTTTTGTTGTTGCATCATTTCTATATTTTGTTTTGCTTGGTGATCGGGTAACACTGTAGGCACCTGAGGTTATATACTGTAGGTAGATTTGCAGCTCTAGAGGACCAGCATGCACCTGGGTGGGCCCATGGTTTAAAGCAGCAGGAGCCATGATTTTCTTTTTTTGTTTGCTTGCTTGATTTTGGATAAAATTATGTAAAAATGTTGATCCCTTGCATGGACAAAAGACTTATTTTGTCTGCGTACAGCACATCCCTGCTGTGCCTCAGTGACCGTCTGATCATGTTTGATTTAAACGTTATTAACATTTCTTGGACAAATAGCCACTAAAATCACATTCATGTCATTTTAACTCAAAGCTTGGATCGATCAGAAGAATGACTCCGATGACGCTCAACGTTCTTGTGAGTTAAAGTTGATCCAGAAGTTGTTGATCAGTGCACTTCAGCAGCAGGAGGGCGTGCTTCTACATTTTCATAGGTGAGTTCGATGACATCCTCATCATCTTCCTCATGCACCTGTGAAATAAAACACAACAAGTGAGAGTCTGAGAAAAATGTGTCAACAGAGCAAACTGCAGCACCGCCTATGGTCTCACAGGTATCATCAAAGTCAAAGGAATCCTTACATTACATTTTTCAAATCATTCAAGTTAGTTTTAAACTCACATTGTTTCCTTTGTGCAGTGATTTGATGTAGCCTGGAAATAAAGTTTTAAAAAAGCAGTATTAATGTTCTATGAATTATTCATATTATCCAGTCGTATCAAATTCATGCCGTTTGTTTCCTCACCTCTGAGGCTGAAGACCAAAGCTGTGGTCACGATCATTAAGATGAGAGCTGAAAAACGCAGAGCCAGCATGATGTAGCTCAGAGAAGACCAGAGTGAGGCTTATAAGGAAAAAAAAAAAATCAGTCAATGAGTATCTGCAAAAAGCTAAATAGCCAGTTTGTCAGGGAGGAAGATTATTTAATTGTTTGAAATATCAATACAGCTGTTAAAAAAAAATCTTTAAAGCTACAACAACTTTGTCTTTGTTTCCTCTCATCATTCTTCCTCTACCTCTCTAAAGTCGCTCGTCAATTTTAGCTGTCAGGGAGTTTTAAAAAGGCGAAAGTATCCACTCCTACGCCGATGACAGACAGCTCTACTTCAGCACCAAACTCACCCCCACTCCCTGGTCCATCCAAACCTGGATGGGAACCAATTTCCTCAAACTCAATAAGAATAAAGCTGAGCTCATGGTTTTGGTCCCAGAGGCGCTGCTCAGGGAGGTTGGTGACATCTTACTGGAATCTAACGGGGGCTCCATCTACCCATCCTCTGAGGTCCCAGCCTGGGCGTCATCCTGGCCTCAACCCTCTTATTCCACTCCCACATCAAATCTGTCACTAAATCTGCTTCTTCCATCTAAACAATGTATCTGGACTCCGGCCATCACTCTCTGACTCCATGGCAGAAAACCCTCACCCACGCCTTCATAACCTCCCGTCTGGACTAGTGTAACAGAGTCCTGTAGCTATTTTCCCAACAATTGTTTTGGTCACGGGCGCTGTTGCTTTTTGATCGTGTACACTCACCTTCTACTCTGCAGTAAACACAGCGCACACCGTGTCCTTTCTGAAATGCCTTTAACTGTGGTGTATGACAAGACATAATGATGTCATGTCCCTGTTTGGTGTAGAGAAGACTTTTCGCTTGAGTGATGCCTCCTGGAAAGAGAGTAGCTTTTTTTTCTTATGACTTAAATATAGTAAGTTAGTAACCTTTAGTTGGTGGACCAGGATTAGAACCAGGATCAGGATTAGAACCAGGATCAGGACTAGAACCAGGATCAGGATTAGAACCAGGATCAGGATCTGTGATCAGAGGATTGAGTTTAATTACAACATATACATCCACTTGTTTTCTCAAAATACATTATCAAGGACATAAGACTACTTGATTACAATCCATTTACAGAATATTGAACATGTTTTGGGTCATAGTTGGATTTTCTTTTTGGTCTTTATGGACTCACTGATCCTACATGGTCCTACCTGTGAGGTCAGGTGGGTAGTCAGCCTGTATCTCCACTTTATTCCTCTGAACAAACTGGCAGGTGAATTTCCTGTTGTCTCCACTCTGATTCTTCACCTTCAGATGAGAGACCCAATCTGCATTTCTGGAAAACTTTTGGACACCTTCAGTAACCTCAGTTCCTGTCTCGTTTACCCAGCGGAGGCCGTTTGATCGATGAGGGCAGAGATTGTCATATCTCAACAGAGAGCACTCCAATGTGACTTCATTGTTCCTCGTTTGATCAGAGTCTGCTGGAAGCTGAGTGACTGAAAGAAAATCATCAATAACTCAGTTAAAAAATATTTCACATTCGTTGAGAAGTTAGCGACATACTTACAAGATCCTTTCAAATTTCTATTCTTTCTTTTTTCTTTCGATTTTGAACAAAGAAATCAAGACTTGACTGAAAGATCTTTAAGTGGTGTCTCCATGAACCAAACCAGGAATAAAATGTTCAATAGAAACATTTCAAGTATATTTATCAGCAGTTAATAAAGAAATCACTTTAGTTCAGGAGCGCCCACAGCAAGACATCTCTCCATTGGTGCATGTTATTATGTATATTTCATAAATGATGGTATCTGTTAACCCTCTGATGTATCGCCTGTTGAGTGGCTACAGCAGAGCTGTAACAACTGAATTCATTATCTCTCCTTTCTAGTTTCTAGTGGGAATCTGAACCAGCAGATGGAAGAGGAAGTTTAAGCTTATGTTTTGAAACCCATCTGTCAGATAATAACCGATGTATTCAGAGACTGAGCACGCACAATGCAATATTTCTGTCCCAAAAACATACAAAAATTGTCTTTTGCTAATCATGGAAGATAAAAATGCTTCTGCAACTTAGAAACACAGAAACCTCATAAAGATAGGTATCATACACCATCCGACACGTGTAGAGACAAAGCGGCAACCTCTGGTCTTGAAAAATTAAGCCACTGCAGAAGTGCAAAGTCCCGCAGTGTGTGGAGTGTCCGCTTGAGGCTGGTTCTAGGAACACCGGGAGTCACATACACACCACAGCCAAATAAGCTGCTTTTACTGCATAAATAAACATGTTCACAGCCTGGTACAAAAAAACGAAATTGGTCTGATTAGTTATTGTCATCATGGGCACACACTGTACAGGGAATTAATTTAAACGGCTTTGTTTTAATTTGGGAATGATACATGTTATCCATAGTCAGGCATGTAGCTGTCATGATTGAAAGTACAGTGTGTTTGTCAAGAGGCTTAAAACCCGCCTCAACTCCAGCTCTCTGACATCTGACTGAAAGTTAGGCTGTGACAGGATTTCCAGCATGGCGGCTGCTGATGAGCCTCTAAAGCCCCCTGCAGGAACAGATGGGTGACGTCACTCAGGCTGCGTCCATTAACATTTACAGTCTATGATAGAGATCCACATCCCCAGCAGTGAAACGTTTAATGACCAAAGAATAGTCGAGAGTTAGACAGTAGCTGATGTGTTCTTAGATTGAGCACATTGCAACAATTAATTCACAAACAAACAAAAAAATTCTCTGGATAATCATAGAAGTACCACCTACCTGTCAGAAGACTTAAACACACACCGACATCGTACTGATGAGTATTATTCAGCCGACAAGTGTAGACACCAACATCCTCAGCAGTGATGTTTTTAATGACCAAAGAGCAGTCTGAGTCCAAACTCAGCCTGTCAGCTCGGGGTGACGTCTCCTCAATCTTTCCACCCCTTGCCTCAAAAAAAGTACCTGATGAATTTCTGTTATAAAGCCATGAAACCCAGGAGCACTGTTCAGGTATATATAGAGTGGCACAGGGCAGAGTCACATCTTGATCAAGGTGGTAGAAGGGAAAGAGGTCTTCTTGACTGTTGCCCACTGGAAAACAAAAAAGGTGAACTGTAAGAAATAAAACCTTAAAAGCGCCTACCTTCTCTGGTCCAAACAAATCCAGAGCATTCAGGAGCAGAATCTAAAGTTAGAAGGAGGACATACTGGCTGCTGCATTGTTGTCAGAGAAGCCAGCACTTCAACATAGCATGTTTCCTTGATGTCAGTCATTTTATGATTTAATCCAGTAGATATTTTACAAGTGGGCCTTTAAAAAGAGAGTGAAGTCAATCTCTCTGGGTTTCTCGTTCTCAGATCTGTGTTAACATTGATGGGACAGCGTCTCTCTCAGCTTGTTTATGTTGCAGGAGTCCAAGTCAAGGAGAACCAATGGACTTTCCACACCGAAAAAAAATACTGTTGTGTGGAGAAAGAGCTAAATTTAAACACTTTCAAGAGTAGGTAAATGTTTTCAACAATTATATGAGATAATCCAATAGTTGCTATGATGTTTGGTCCAACAGAAATCATTTGGATAAGGACAGCAGTACCATCAGTGTGTGCACGTGCACATTTGCATCGACTGGCAGTGTTTCTTTCAGTCGATGATGTATGTTTTCAGGTATTTTAATTTTGGGTTAAATGTACTTAATCTTGACGTCCCTTGAACTGAAAATGTGTATCGCTGTAATGTGTTGTGTCTTTGCAATGTCAAATCTCCTGCCTGAACATCTGTCACATTAATGCTTACCACGGCTGAGTCAAAATTGCCCACATAATTTACACAAGAAGGAAACCAGCTATTCTTTCAAGTTTGGTTCAGTATGATATATCTCTTTGGTTGCTCCAGTTTGGTCTCCACCAACTCCTGAAAAAATAAAACCTGAAAAGTGTCTTACCTCTGTCATGCTGAGCAAGTGTACAGTGGATACAGGTTGGATGACAGCATGGTGAAAGAAATGGTGTCAAAACATGGTGACAGTCTAACTGCCAAACTTAAGGCTTCAAAATGTTTCTCCTCAAACCAATGGATGATGTCACACTGCCCAAAATAAAAAAGGAAATGAGCTTGCTGAAGGGGCTTTTCTTAACGTGTCCACTTCCTGATTCCTGAGGACCACTCTGTATAGCCTGGTTGATACTTCTGTGCTGAACCGTATGCTGTAATTTGTGTACCTACGCAGAAGCCTACGTATGTATCCTCAACAGTGCACCACATGTAAAACATTGGGATACTGAGTCTAAATATGATGAGAATATAAATATATGTTCTTCGTGTCATGAACCTTTGTTTGTTTGACAAAGGTTAACTAGTAGCCTCAGCTATGAATATTTCATCCATTCATCTATTTCAATTTCATACAAAGCACATTGAGCCTACATGTGATGACATGTGTTTTACAAAAAAATTGCTATTGATGTCTCCTCTTTTTTTCTCTTCTTTGCAACAATTGCAGTAAAATCAACTCAATATCTATCATCACTACACTCGGTTACAGTCGCCATGGTTTCCTGTACACAACAGATATTACCGGTATCCTTTATTAAACTTTTTTAAGAATTAAGAGGGTTGTTGATGCTGTCGAACCTTTTACCACTGTAAAGATATAAACACTCAAAGATATTTTGTATCTTATTCCCGCAAAAAAAAACAACCATTACAGTTTACAAGTTGCAAAAAACAATGATGAATGGCTAAATAAGAGAACAATTTGACATTACCTTCAAACTGAAGCACAAAAATGAGGATTAACTCAAGAGGAGCCATTGCCTGTGATTCTCTAGAGACTGGTGATGTACTCTAAGGCTACATGTGTCCGTGCAGATCTATAAATGGAGATGTCATTTCCTTTTTGTGGTTTCTGAGATAAGCAAATCTTAAAACAGCATCACTTACCAGCCCGCCAGTCAACAACCTATCCAGACAACATGGGGGAGATGGGACATTTGTGTGTGTACATGTGTGAATTTCACTGTAGTAAAGGAAATGTCTTCATCCATCCTGAGGAAAGGGAATGATCTGACATTAACATACTTTTTTTAACTTGTGAAAACTTGCTGTCATAGCAACCAAGTCACGGAAGTCCTGAGATAGTCACGGGCTATTTTGATAAGACAATCTTCACACTGTCTCTTGCAACCTGCAAAAACAAGCACAGCTTTAAACTGCATTCATTTATTTTACTTTAGTCAGTTAAAGTAATCACACAATTTTAAAGTTTGAGGAAAGCTGACTAAAATGTAAAGAACAATAAAAGTAGTCACCTTAATTTCTAAAGGGTTTTTAAAAATCTAATATGAGCATTTTACACAAATTTATATTCTGCTAATGTGAGACGTTGTTAAGATGACGCTTCATACTTGCTCACACAATGTCAGTAGTTGAGTGTTTAGATGTTAAAATTACATTCACTTCACACTCCAACACTTAAACCTGATAGAAAAATAAATGTGGCATATTTTAATGTTGAGACGGGATTTTAATGGGGCTACGTCATGAAGTGTAAAGAGTAAGGACTTGGGGCTGGTTTCATGCTCAAGGGCGACATCTACTGGATCAAATCGTTGCATATTCTTCATTTAAAAGTTCATACAGTCCTGTGTATCAATTTAAAAAGTAACACAACCGACTGGCAACATATAAATATTCTTTGCTTAACTAAGAATGGACCAAAAAAAAAGATGTTGAATGTCGCAATTAAAGGCAGGGTTGGTCATTTTCTCCAGATCCACTTTTTAAGATTTTGGTTGAAATTGTCTTTAGGTCCAGTCAGAAATTAATAACTCATTTCTCTGAAAAAGGAACAAAGAAAATCCCTCATCTGTACAGTTGTAAGCCTGTAAAAACTTTGACCGAAATTTTTGGGGCAGTATTCAAAAGATCCAACAATGGTTTTAAGATATAAGTAAATCAAACTGTCTCCATCAACAAATAAGCATTCAACTGTTCTGGAGATACAAGGTTTGGCTATGACACTGTGTGTAAATGTGGATGTTTTTGTGTTGTGCGGGGTTAGAAAACATGATGACACTTACATATGTCGAAGGTAAAAGCTTTTAGTGTTGTGATTTTAATGTGCCTTTTGATTTCAACAGAAACGTACATAGTAATGTCATCTGCATACGGTGTGATTCCAGTTAAATGACAGATTCTCCAACATCCTACAGCGTGTGGATAACTTATGAAATATCCAACAGCAGCTCTGCATATTTGACATCAGACATTTAATGGGATACATTCAGACAAGAAAAAGCTGAACAAATCTCAGTGTCATTCAAGGTCAGTTTTTCGAATGAACTCTTAAACAAGAGTCCAGTTTCATAGTGACAGTAGAGCGAATTCAATTGGTTTTATACATAAACTGACTTGATGTCAGTCACTAATGAAGACAAATAGAAATCCTTAAATAGAATCCTCCTTGTATGAAAAGAAATGTTGAAAACAAAATAAAGACAAATGAATGGTTTTACAAATGTAAAACATATAACCAGAAATGTTGATTATCAAACAAGACCATATATTAAAGTTGTATTTTTTGGGGCATTTTTGCCTTTATTTGATATGACAGCAGAAGAGAGAAAGGAATATTGGGAGGAGAGAGTAGGGGACGACATGCAGCAAAGGGCCAAGGTTGGATTTGAACCCACGGCTGCTGCTATGAGGACTACCGCCCCATGGCACACGCGACAAAGCAGCTAGGCCATACTAATAGTTTTCAAACCAAAGAACCAATGAAGGAGCTTGTAATAACATGTTATTTCACCTTTTTTCAGCGCTATTTTTTAATTAAATAATTTACACAGTGAAATTAATAAATAGCCTAAGTTGACAATAAAAACATACAAACATATAAGTGCTCTATAAATGAGATAAATACAAAGGAATGTTAGATCTTCATTACTAAAAAAAAACTGAATAAACTTTCCAGTTTTACACAAAGTATTCACATCAGTTTAAAAAAAAAAAACAGGGCCTGAAGTTTTCACATGTTACCGTGTCAAAAGTACAACAAAGAAATGGATCTGAACTGATAAACATCTTTCTGTTACAGAAAAAAATTGGACCCATCTTCTTCCATCTCTGAAATCTTTGTCAGTGTTTCATGAAGCCCACAAGATGGCGTCAAACTTCTGCTTTATCTTCAAACCTGACACTCAGCAGCTCTCTGAGGCTGTGAGAGACTCTGTGATACCTGACCAGAGTCGACATGAAAAAGACATTTAAAATCATGCAATCGAGTATAAAACTTGTTGTGCGTTTGTTTCTTTTTGTGCACTGAACGCAGAACATGTTCACATTCTGTTTGGTCCACTGTGGTATTTGTGCAGGCAAACACATCAGACAGCCACATATTGTCTCATCTTCTTTAAAACGTCAAGAGCCAAATTAACGTATGCGCAAAATGATTCTGTAAATATCCGCCATCAGGGCGTGCCTGAAGGTTATGTTTACAGAAAGTTTTTTATTTATTCTGGGTATCAGTTGAGTCCTGATCCTTGTCCCTTTGAGGTTGTGACTTAAGGAGAGGAAAGACGGTTCATCTTTAGAAAAATGATCCATCGAGAAGACCCAGAAGCATTTCCTCGTTACAGGCCAACTTTTTCTTAGCTGTCAGTTTTTTTTTACAAGTAAAATTTTGAAGCAGTAACCAAAGTAGGAGTTCCAGGGTTTTTCCTACAAACCCAATAAAGTGTGTTGAAGCTTCTTCTGCTTGCATATATTTTCAACAATCCACCTTTTCCAGAATAAAACCTAAAGTTTTGTGCACTGGAGGTATTTCTTACTCTGTGCAAGTGCTTTGAGTGTCAGCAACCTTAAGTCTCCTGCAGAGGAGCCTTGAAGGAGACTTAAAGTCTGGGGGGAGTTGGTGTTGATTCTCCTGCCTTGTTGGCTGCCCCCCCAGCTGGCTTGAATCCACTGCAGATTGTGGCTGTGCTTCATCAGACTTCGCTCACCTCCAAAGCCTCCGGCCTTTCACAGAATCATACTTTGCATTAAAACCAATAGCACCCTCAGGTAGTTCATGTAGAGCTGTGCCTGGAATGCCTCCCAGGGGGAGCAGGGAGACGTTTTTAATGTCTTCAAAGATTCAGTGAGGTGGCAGGCTCACAGCGAGGTTTCACGGGAGAAGCTGATGGAGGGCTCCAGCTTGACTCCGTTGGTTTTCTGCTCTAAGGGGCAATCCCCGGGACACTCAGTCGGAAGCTAAGAAAAAAAAAGAAAGAAAGAAAGAGAAGACATTTCAAACGACTGTCAGCTAAGAACTTGTATTATATGTTATGTGAAAAGTTTTTAGATAGGCCTATATAAGACAGAAAAAATATATCAGGTCATGTTGTCATCTTTAAATTCACTTTAAGGCCGAGTATCTTTCAGACCAAGTTGAAAAAAATAATAGTTTTGATTATATTTCTTGAATTCTAGACTGTTAGAACAAAGCTGGTGATGTGTGGCCTCCTCTCTTAACGGTGCGGCCCCACTGCATACGACAATTCGCAAAATTTCATGCAAGACCTCGCTTGTCACCTAGCCTTTCTGCTGCTTGTGGGCGTGAACCATGGCCTGAATAAGGAGCTGTCAATCACAGCAGAGCGTACACCACAAACTTTTTATTTCGGCCAAATGGGTTGGCCGAAATAATAAAGATTCAGAAACCACATTGCACATTTCACGCACCAAATGCTTCCAGAATGAGATGGATAAAAATGTATTTTTATATAAAGGAAAAAGCAAAAGTTGTTTCCGGTGTGAATTCTGGGGAAAACAGCCTTTCCTGTCAATCCCGGGAGAATCCAGAATATCCAATCAAATGGCGGATCGCGCTGCTCACATCGCACTCATTTGAATGTAGTTCACTGAAGTTCAACTTCTGTCCCACCCCTTTCTCGCATCTTGTGCCTGCGCCTGCTCGCCAAGCATCCCATAATCCTTTGCTCTACTCGTCATCTTTAGTGGAAGCCAAAGCTTAGGTTGGAGGAAAAAGAGAAAGCAGAGGATGGATGTGATGGTTGTCTTCTCGAAAGGGCACGTTACAGTGACTCAGCGGGATGGAGGGAAGATTGAAGTAGAGGAGGATTGAAGAGAGTTCAGCCGCAGGTTTAATGGCCTGGCTCGTCTGGAGGCTGATTTGCGGGACACCTTCAGAAACCATGACAGGGAATCAGCTGGTAGAGAGGTCGGAGTCAAGAAGAAGAAAAGGAGTTCACTGCTTTTTGTTTGTTCAGAGGACCATGGACACAAAAAGATTCACTGTCCAAACTGGGGGGGGAGGAGACTCTTTTCAGGGAGAGTTGAGAGCAGTTCAAGAATCTGTCTCATCAGGGTCACCTCATGGGACGCCAGGAAAAAAAAATAATGAACAAAGAGACGCTCAGACGAAAAAATGCTTTTTGTTCTAAAAAAGGGCAAACCAGGAAAACAGAGAGAGCGAGAGAGTCAGGACATAATAGAGCAAGAGGTGCAGGGACGAATGGATCCCCCCTCTGTACCGTCTTCGGAGGTGGTAGCAGAGGCGTTACAGAGGCGAGACAGGATCAGCTGAGTCAGCAGGAGAGCACAGCGCTGTGTGTGTTTTTTCTCGTTTTGCAGCTTCAAGTCCTCACATCTCTCTCTCTTTCTCTAATTCTAACTGGGAGGAGCGGACGTAAGGAACAGACGCAAGTGAAGGAAACAAGGAGACAGTTAGTGTAAAACAAAATGACCCACTTTGAGAGTTTTTCATGCACTTACAGCGAGTAGGGGGTTCCGGTTTGCTTCCATGTTGACATTGTTTCGTTTCAGTTCTGACTTGATTAAAGCTGAAACACAAAAAAAAAAAAAAGTATTACTTCTCCAACACTTGGTGTAACCAGCACAAATAAGCAGAGTTACCCACATTCACACACACACACAGCCTACCAGTGAGCAGGATTCCCAGGAAGATCCAGGCGCACAGGAAGAGATTCCCAGACAGCGGGCCGTTGTGTGTGGTCAGTTTGCCCTGAATCAGAGTGAAAATGATCCCAAAGATCTGCACAAACACACAAACACACACACACAGGTCAAAAAGCAGCACTAAACGAACGTCTACTGTCTCTTTAAAATCTGTCGTATCTGTGCAGCATGGGCCCGCTTCACCCTCTGAACTGCACGGTACATGTCAAAGCAGCAATCATGCCCGGGCACGGTACTGAAGAATCGTGCCTAACGCCCTAAAGTAGCCCGGACTCATATCTCAAAATGTTATTTACAGCAGGTCTTGAGAGAGGAACTTTTTGAGACCTGAGCGAAAGCATTGAGGAGTCCAGATGACGTTCCTTCAGACTCTGGGTAGGTGACCTCCACCCCAAACTCGAAGCCCAGAGGCAGGTAACCCGTCATGAAGAACCTGAAACACAGACATCACCCAGGAGAGTAAATTAAGTCAAATAATGCATCTATTCTTCCTGCATGTGTGAACACAGCCTCAAACTATCTCAACAAAACCTCCCACAGATCCAGAAAATGGAAATGAAAAGAATAGGTAGGCGGTTTTAAGGCGACCTCGCACATGGTCCGTTTTGGACGCCCCTCTGTTTGTCAGATATGAGAGCAGTTATCAGGTCAACAGGTGTTGCAGCGATGGAAGCGGTCAAGAGAAGTGGTTCAGATAGAAGTGATTGTACCCGACCTAAAAAGCCTCTGCATGTTTCTAATAAGCTCCACGAGCAGAAACGTGCTCAAACTAGGATCAATATTGGAGATGCTTTTGAAAAATGGAGAGAGGTTAGAACACAGAAAGGTTTACAGACCCATGCAGAGCTGGATAAACACTGAAGCTTCAGAGTCCACCACATGGTGACCTGAGTGAGCATCCACTCTAGAGAGGGGGGGGGGGACAGCTCTCTATGATGTTTAGAATTTAGACTGCAGTACCCATTTTAAACACTAGGGGTCAGAGCTACAGTGTCTGATGATACAGTAAGGTCATTTCATGATTTAATACAGTAGATGTCTTACAGATTGCTCCTTTATATTCCACTGAACTGAACTATTTTGTCATTTTTTGTTGTTTTCAGATGTATGTGATCGTCTTCTTTTACATCTTGTCTGTTTTTATGGATCAGTAACAAAACATCTTCGTTCCTATTATGAATATTAATTTTTCTATATTTTAAACATCTTTAAAATTAAAAGGTTTTAATTTTAAGGTTTATTTGGGGGATTTTTATGCCATTATTTCAGAGACAGGACAGCGGGAAAGGAGCCACAGGTCGGAATCGAATCCAAGCCTCCCGCCTGGAGGACCACATGTACGGAGCACAGCCTCTGCACATGGGGCGCGTGCACTAACCACCAGGCTGCTGGCGTTGACGAGGGCTGCAAACTGTGCAGAGTCGTTGGTCTTTCTGATCCCGCTGACATATCTAGGAGTGTGAGAGGATTCTTGTGCAGCCTATTGTTGCTATGCAATGTGTCACATCACAATGAAGTGTGTTGGATTCTGTCTAACCGCCTCAGGGCTGTACCGACAGGAATGTGAGCAGTTTGACTGTCAGGTGTTGCCACAACAACATGAAGAGTCTTATTGCAACGACTGCTTCTCTGAGCTTGAAAAGGTCAGACGTCATCACTAAATACTCGTCTTTACTCAAGAAATCCTAATTCTATTGTTCCTCTCAATACGGGCACACAGCAAAGGTTTGAATATATCGCAATAAATTAAAAAACTACACACACACACACACACACACACACACACACACACACACACACACACACACACACACACACACACACTTTCATTAAAGGCTTTATATGTGATTTTTTGATCCAGCAGATGTCGCCCTTGAGCACCAGCATGAAACCAAAACATCTCGCGCTGCATTGTTGTGTTAGCATGCTAATGCTAGTGATCTTTATTATGCTGGTATCTTCACACTGCATGTAAATGTACCTGAAATGAGCGTGATCTAGAAACACAGTTAAGCAGTGAGTACAGTATGTTATTCTTCTTTTCTCTAGTCCCTCAATTAAACAACTTTTATACACAAGGGGAGGAGTCAGCCGGCCGTCCGGGCGATGTAAACAAAGTGAAGATAGGACTCTGAAAACTCTGAAAACATCACAGACAGTGGGACTCGGGTGTTACACCCATTGTAGACAGTCATGACTCACAGAGTTATTTTCAGAGGATATACTTGATTTCTATTATATTTAAGTGTGAAACATCTCAAATAAAGACTTTTAAGAACATATATTTTAAGGACACTTTCTAATAGTCTCATAGTCTTACCCCAGGACTCCAGCAGTGAAGAAGACCAGGTAGATGTTGTTGAGGTTCAAAGTGAAGGTGAAGACCACCATGCCCAGAAATGACAGGATGTACACGATGAGTGTGGTGATCCTGCAAAGACACTTCAGTCATTTGATTTATTTAATAGGAAATCCCCCCCCAGGCGCAAAAGTCATAGGCGCAGGATAGAGGAAGGTTTTATATTATTGTTTTTGTCAACAGATGTTTGCATCCTGCCGTGTATGTTATCAAAACGTGGCAAAAGGGTGAACGTGTTGCCTACTTGTATGCCTTGGTGTGGTCCAGCCACAGGCCACAGAGGATGGAGCCGACCATTCCAGCGACAACCAGAGTCAGACCAATTCTCCCAGCATTCAACTCCTGGTTCTGCAGGGGGAGAGGAGGGGGGTGGGGGGGAGCAGAGGAGGAGGATATGTTCACAAAGCCTTAGTAGACACAAACAGCTGACACTACTGTGCACCTTTAATCCTCATCAGACCCGATACAGGTGGATGCAAAGGTTAAAATCCCGGATAACAGATGTTACAAGAGGAACCTCTACAGCCTACTTCATCTTGGATTTGGCGCTGGTGTTGTCACGATACCAGATTTTTAAACTTTGATGCAACTCTAGTAAAAATCAAACAATATTGGGCGGCCAACTGGTTAGTTTGTACGCCCCATTTACGGAGGCTGCTGTCCTCAAGGGGACGGCCCGGGGTTTAATCCAACCTGGGCCTCCTCCTCCTCCCTGCATGTCATTTGCATCCCTCTCTCTCACTCTCCTTGATTTACATTTCTCTCCATGGTCCTGTCTCTCTGATAATGGTGTAAAAAGACCAAAAAGAAATCTAAAAAAAGGAGTGATATTGATCGTCATACTACAAAAGCTGCTGGAGCATTTTGACCTCTCCAGTCTTTCGCTCTTCATGCACCTTGTTAGTTGGTGAAGTTGTTCCAGAAAATCCCGCTCTGCTTCTTTTTTCTCTTGCGGAAGCTTTTTCCCTGCCAAGACTCAAATGTTGCCAAGTGTAGTTTGTCTAAGGCCTAGTCCACGTGTAGGCTGGATTTTCCTCCTCTGTTTAAAACAATAATCCTGTCCACAAACGCTCAGTTCTCAAAAACATCTGCATCTGCACTGGAAATCAGAAAAAACGGCTGTCACGAGCAAGTCAACAACGATCTCTGCTGGTTAACATAGTGGGAGAGTAACTGTGTCTGTATGTGTGAGCATTTAAAAAGACAAGTTGGCAACGTTAGCACCAGCACTAGCTCGGTAACGTCTGTCATCGCGCTAATCTCACGTAAACAAAAGTGACAGTGTCGCTCAATGACGGCAAACAGAGAAGAAACAGATGCACAGTGTGACGTTACAGGCCCAAAACTCATCGTGTACACGTAGACACCTAAAAACTGAGTTTCTGTAAATCTTCACCCTGGAAGGAGTTTTCCAAAAGGTGAGTTTTCAGTGACCCTATAATGCAATTTGTGTACGAAAGACCAAAACACAAAAATCTATGTTTCCAAAAATACCCGCCTACCTGTGGACCAGGTCTAACTTCTAATCAAACATGTCTCCATACTTATCTTTCGGGTCCAAACAAACATCTTATTCTAACATATTAAAATAGAAAATAAAGCCTGAATTGCTTTTAATAAGCAATGAAAATCTGACATGCCTTTTTTTCTGCTTATAATATCATGAAGTACGATGTTTGTTTGGACTTGTCAGATAAATATGTTTTATAATAAATGTACTGAGATATTTTGACAAAAGATTAGACTAAATGCACTTGTTGAGATTCAAGGTTTTGCAGCTTGGTAAAAAAAAAAGACTCAAGGTGAAGTTTGTTTTTTTAACCTTCTGTACTTTTGGATACTTTTAATCAATATTTTATTGTTTTAAAACTCATGATATGGAAAAGTTTTGAACCTTTTGACAACCTTAGTCACAGATGGTGTCTACAGCTGAGGAACTGAATGAGTGCCGGCCTGCCTGTGGGTCCTTCATTGTTGTGTGAGAGGGAGAAGAAGAGAAGAGCTTCAGAGTGAATGAATCCGTCTTTCTATCATTTTGCCTTTTGTGCGTTTGTGTAGACACTGATAGTGTTATGGTGGGCAGCAGGCATGCGTGGAAACGGCTAATGAACTCGGACAATAAGCTAATGTCTCATCAAAGCCATCTGATGTTTTCAAACTTGACTGGCTCTCTCCCTCCATCTTTAGTCTTCTCTCTCAACCACCATCCTCCTGTGTCGAGTCTTTTTATGTGCTTTTTAAACATGAATGGAAACACGTTGGTGTTCTGACTGAGAGAAGTCTGTTCTATTATTAGATTGTTTGACCTGCTTTGTAACTACAAACTGTATTCATAACCTTTAAAATGTGACAATAGCTGAGGAACAACACAAAGATCGACAGAAATCTGAGAGCTATTCTTTGTGTCGTCAGTATTGAAGAGAATGGCCGATTCCCCTCCAGCAAAGACTCCCTCAATCTCTGAGAACTCTTTGTCCAAAACACAAGGGACAAAATAGCACACGACCGTCAGACGCCCCTCGGTTTGTCAGATATGAGAGCAGTTATCAGGTCAACAGGTGTTGCAGTGGAAGCAGGCAAGAGAAGTGGTTCAGATAGAAGTGATTGTACCCGACCTAAAAAGCCTCTGCATGTTTCTAATAAGCTCCACGAGCAGAAACGTGCTCAAACTAGGATCAATATTGGAGATGCTTTTGAAAAATGGAGAGAGGTTAGAACACAGAAAGGTTTACAGACCCATGCAGAGCTGGATAAACACTGAAGCTTCAGAGTCCACCACATGGTGACCTGCATGAGCATGGACTCTAGGGAGGAGGGGGGGGGGAGACAGAGTTCTACAATGTTTAGAATTTAGACTGCAGTACCCATTTTAAACACTAGGTGTCAGAGTTACATACTGCTCCTTTAGCACTTACAGCTCTTATTCTGTCGATAATATATGAACTGCAAAGAAGAAAAATTGAAGTTGCTGGTTGTACTAGAGGGAAATATTTGGAACCACCAGGTTTTATTAATGATGAAGCAACACTTTGAACATGTGACCTACCACATCATCATCCAACCACGGAGCCAGAGCTCTATAAAGATCCCAAGATTCTTTCTCCCATTAACTCCAAGCGGTTTGTGTGTTTTACCTCATAGCAGGCCAGGATCATCTGGTTGAGAAGCGTTGAGACAGAGTAGAACGACCCGGTCATTATTCCTGCAAACAGAGAGAGCGAAAGACAGACACGAGGGGAGTGTGCAGTTAGTTTCAGCCCTTTCAAGTCTTCAGGGAATCTGTCAAGCATGAAAATGAATTTGACCTTGACGAATATGTCTTGAGTTTGATTGTGACAACAAGCAACCCTGACAGTAGTGCAAAAAACACAACAGTGCAAATACAAGGTTAACTTGTAGTCTGCAGGTTTACTCTTTGATGCTTCTTTTTGTATTCAAGTCAACTGAATGTTAGTTAAATTTTAAGAAAACTCACGGTTTTCTCATGGTCTCAATACCATTATGACTCAAATTTCTGTATAAAGACCGAGCAACACCAAGTCATACTCAATACGTAAGAGGGAGTGCTAGATTCTAATTACACAACACAACTCTGCACGTGAAACTCCACAAAGTGCTAAATATTACCTTAGAAATGCATAACGTTTTCGTGTTGATTTGGTTCTGATTCACACTTACCGTAGCTGATAAGCAGGAGGATAAATGCTTTATTTTTTACAAGGTTGATGATGGACTGTTTGTAGGAGTAATCCTCTGGAGGGCAGTCTGGAAGGACAGCCTGGGCGTGACTAGGAGGGAGGGGAGGGTGGTCCGTAATGACTGTAATACAAAAAGAAACAATCAAGTTTTAGGTTAGCCTGCTAAAATGGTAATTTATCTAAATATAAACAGATTGATGGTCTCAATTAGCTTTTAGGTTACAAACATGAGGGAACCCAGGACAGCTCATTGAGGAACTCCAAAAGGCTTTAATGTTATATTACATTATACATATACACAAATAGAGGGCAAATACAGAGTACGATTTGTCATCTAAATTAGCCTTTAAGATGTACTGTGTGTATGAGGGAACCCAGGAGAGCTTGCTTAGGAACTACAAAAAACATTTTTTTATTACAAAAGTTCACAACTACAACTTGCAAAAATCAACTAAAGTAATGATAACACACTTACTGGACTGTTAACTCAAAGTTGTGTAGATTAAACGGTGCAAAAAGTACATGCTTTCTCTCTCAAAAAGAGAGGCTACACAGTCAGCTCGCTTGTCATTCATGTGATGATAAAATCAATTAAAATTCATAGACAGCAACTACCGGTATGGATCACTTTTTTCCTGCATCCTTGGGAGGCTTTTATTTTGGATACATGTAGGAGTTTCCAAGTAAAGAGGTTTGGAACAGTTTACCTAAAGAAGCCTTCAGGTAGCAAAAAATTAGGGAAACCGAGACAGCTCCTTGAGGGACTCCAAAATGCTTAAATGTTATATTTGAACACTTCTACAGACATAAAACTCCACATAAACTGTTCAATACTTTTAATCATGCCTGGTTTAAATCTACTTTAAAACAAATTATAATCCAAATACGCTCTAAATTGAGTTGATTAGATAGGTTTAATATGAGCTTAGCTATTTCCACCTAACTAACTCACTCTTATTCCAATCTAAAATGCCATTCATACTTGTGATTCATAAAACCCTGACCCTTACCAAAGGTCTATCCTTGACCTACACCTAATCCTATTATCTTAAATCTAAACTCAAATTCTTTCTGTAATATTTTCATCCTTGTGAGGAAAGCTGGCCCTTAAAAGAAACGATTAATACACACTGCACACCTCTGTTCTTATGTACCCAGGTACGCCTGTGGTCATCTCACATACTTTTGAAGTAAATGAACCATAAATCCCTGGCAACTGGAGCAGATGGCAGCGCATATGTATGCTACCTCCCATGACAGGGCAAGGCGGCGTGTGAATGTGTGTGTCTTTGTGACGTGTGTACCTATGATGGTGAGAATGAAGAGGACCGTAGAGACGGCAGCTGTTCCATAAAACATGACGCTGATGTTGTGACCCGTCAACTCAACATCATCTGTTTTGGGGACCAAAACTGGAGGAAGCAGGAATCCTATGGCCGTTCCCAGCTAAGAAACAAGAGAAACAGAGATGGAGAAACATTGTCATAAACACTGCTGTGATTGTTATAGTGTGCATTTTCATATTCCACATCAATTTTCCTTTGAAACACTTGGGAAGTTTGAGTGTCATGAACGGTTGGAAAACAAAGAGGTGGACCCAATCGCAGATACAAAGAAAACTAAATTTATTAAACAAAAAGCCAAAGGCAAACAAAACTCACTAATTCAAAATGTGCAACAAAAAGCCAAAGGGGGGAAACAAGGAGCCACGAGGAAACACTCGAAACTCCAACATAGACGGACAAACTACATTCTACTTACAACGATGAACAGACACAGAAGGGAAGAAACACAGACAAGGGGTAATCAGACAGAGGCAGGAGTAAACACAAGACAAGAAACACTGGAGACTAGAACTACAACACAAATCAAGAAACACAAAGATACACAGTGAACAGTTATGTTACAGTGAATGTAACATAACCACTAGAACAAAGAAATACAAGGATAAAAAAACTACAAAATAAAACAGGAAACACTTAAGACTAAACTATGAAACATTAAGACAAAAACACACAAGGGAAACATGCAACACTAGGATGGACAGGAGAAATTAAAACATGGAATCCTAAATAAGACCAAATCATGACATTAATGATCATGAAGAATAAAAGAAACATCCTGTGGATATTATACTGATGGTACATATTCAGTATCTTGGCATGTGGATTGACTCTGTGCTTAGCTTTAGAACACATATGGATCATTTCATCAAACAAGTAGATTTGAGTGCTGGGGCTCTTTATCATTATGACATTGTTTCATTTTGAAGGTTAAAAAGATATCCAATAAAACAGATCATGAAATATAACTTCTAACCATATAAGCTGCCTTGTTAACTTAGGGTTATATGCACCTTTAAGACACGAGAATATACAAATAATTCAACAATAGCCTATCAATAAGAGTATTTGTGGCACTGCGCACATACTGACCTGGTTCCCGAGCACGGCCGTTGCACACGCAGTAGAAACCTCCCGGGGTCCGAACCACACCGAGGCGACCCGGGACGGCAGGCCGAGGATGAACACCTGCGCCACGGAGCAGATGACCTGCGCAGTGACGGTGACTCCGAACAGCTCGGGGCTCACGCTGGCGCACTTGAGCCATGCGCCGGCGCAGTTGAGGCCGGCGCCCAGCAGGGCCGTGAGCCGCAGACCCTTTCGGTCCAGCAGCCAGGTGGCCGGGAAGATGAGCGGCACGTAGGCGAGCATGTAGACGATGGAGAGCCAGTCCACCTTGTCGCTGGAGACGCCGTAGTACTGCATGAACACGTTGGTGATGATGCTGTACTGGATCCACTGGAAGGCGTTCACGGAGGAGTACAGACTGAAAACGAACAGCACAGCGAACCGGCGCCGGTAAAGTCTCGTCTCTAGCATCTTCCCTTCCTTCTCTTCCGCCTCCTCTCCTCCTCCTCCCCCTCCGTTAGGCAGCATCGCCTCTCTTTCATCCGGCTGCACCTCCTTCTCTCTCTCCCGTTCTTGCCCTCGCTGGTTGTAGTTCGCCTCGTAGGATGGCACGGCTGCGTAAGGCGGATCCGCGGCTGCTCCCTCCAGCTCCAGGTTCTTCCTGCCGACCGTGATGTCGTCAGGTGCGCCAGCATCCGCGCGCAGATGCTCCTGCACGAGCTCGCCGGCAACCATGATGCTCGTGGGAGACTTTGTCTCCTTTTCACTGAGCCGCCAGATGAATATTAGGGGCGAGACAGGAAGAGAGGAAGCGCTGAAAAGAGCGGTTTCCTCATTCAGTTTCCTATTTGTACGCTACTATGCATGCAGTCAGGAAGTAGTAACATCCAGAATAAAACGACATAAACATTAGAATAACCTTCTTAAACTCTGCCCTACTATTGGTGTCTTCCCTCTGCGCTCTGGCGTCAGCATGCTGCCATCTATCTCTCTGTCTCTCTCCCCTTCCTCTCCGTGTCGCTCTGTCTTTTGTTCAGCCCACACTGACGCCTGCACACACTGCCTTCCGATGCTGATGAGCCAATAGTAGCAGAGATACAGCCTGTAGTACGACTGCCAGCCAGGGTGACTGTGTGAATGGTAATCCCTGGCCAATGTGGAAGTGAAGCCCCGTTTCCACCACGCGGTTCAGTTCGGTATGGGGCCATATGGTGCGCACTTTGTACTGTCAGAAGTTGGGAATGGTACCAAAATAACCCATCCGTACTGTCCCATTTTCTGTTGGTAGTCATCCTTTTGTTTTAGTTTGTAGAAATAGCATGTAAAGGGAACAACTCCTGAGCAAGTGTCGAGCTTTAATATCAAATAGTCAATTTTGAAGTGTGACAAATTATGACAATTTGTTTTAGTTCGCTATGAAAAACCTGAAAAAATCATCCCAATAAGAGTAAAATACGACACTGACCTAATGTAGGGTTATTTTCACCAAGAAGCAATCCTTATAGCTGAGAAATAAAGGCACAGAAATATTGCCAAAATCAGAAGTTCCTCCAGTGGCCACTAGAGGCTGTCTCCAAAAGTGAGTTGTTGTTTAAAGCCCGAAGGAATAAATATAAATTGGTTTCTAGATATTTCTTAATTCATTTCAAACGGAGAGGGGAAGATTTAAAAAAAGTGATTTTATTTAATTAAGGTTTAAGATTAAGCAGAATTAAACGCACATTATGTAAATTCCGCCACCAGGGGGCTCTCATTTAAAACAATAACAAGAAATGAGTTGACCGTAGTCATGACGACCGGGCAGAAGAGAATATGTTCACAGACGAGCTAATGTAGCCGAGTATAATTTACATGACGTTTCACAGCAGCACATACAGCGACAGCAGCAGTAGCCGATTTCTTACGTAGTTGTCTTTGACGTAACATCTGGGGTTCCCACGACAACGATAAACATGTCCCGCCACAACAAAACACGTTCCCTTACAGCTACAAAATGAAGGATTTATCTGGCTTTGATAACTATTGGGAATATTTTAGGTAATTTAATTACTCAACAAAAAGTATTTATAACAGCTTTAGTCAATTTTTTTTATATTTTAGTGTAAAAATTCGACATATTCTACCTCGTCCTCATGGAGGCTCTTATGACATGAATGAGGATAACGTGAACAGGAGTTAGCTGGCAACAGAAGACGTTGACAGCGGGATAAAAGAAGAAGAAAAAGGAGGCAGCAGGATGATGATGTCAGAGAGCGGGGAGAAAAAGAAGTCATGAGACACGATAAGAAGTGAAACTGACACCAAATGTTAGAGGATATAAATATTTGAGTCCTGGGGCATTTTGTGTTCTTCAGTTCATCAGATATCCCGATGAATCGTTTACATGATGGTCTCACAGTAGATCATTATCATGAATGACCCTGCCATTCACACCCATATCCTTTACGTTCTTTGTTGTCTGTTGTTGTCAAAAAAGTCTAATGCCCAGATCAGTAATGATGAAACCAATCCATAAAAATGACAAACACACACCCTGTCAGTGCATGCTGCTTTACGGTGATTAGCCCGTCCATATGCTCAGGCCATTATCTGTTCTAATCCTAATCGTCGTTTGACCCAGTGAGAACTCCACTACAGCGGGTAGGTAGACGTCCGATCCTGCACGCCATTCACACCTAGTTAACAGGTACATTTGAAATGAAATAAAACAGACTTGTACAAGCTCATTGTTTACTTTACAGTGCAAAGTACCTGTCCTAAAAGTACCTTAAGTTCTTAACCAAATACCATCATGGAAAGCAGTAATGCCTGCTTAACCACACACTACACACCCACTAAGGATTGTCTAACGCTACACCTGCAGCCACGCCCACGGGTAATGTCACAGCATTCACACATCCTGGAGTGCACTTTTGTCTCACTGCAGTGAGTGGTAACAGTGAAATCACAAAAGGCGGTCAGTTCAAGCAGGTGTTAAATTGCTTTGAAATATAAATGTCCTAGATTACGGTTGTTTTAGAGTTAGCAAAGAGGTTTTTTAGAGTCATTGCAGTGCAGAAAGATGTATTTTGTTTCAAGTAAAAGTCAATCTTGTCCAGCTCTGACCAGTCTTTCTTGGAGATTTTGTTCTTCTCCCTTCTGGTTGGAGGTACAAGATATACGCCCAATGCTAAGATCAACAGAAGCAGATTTTTTGCATGTTCATTGTGTATTAATGTACTCAATCTTCTTTAAACCATGACTGCATTTCCCAGCAGCATAAGAACTTTATTTATAAATACCATTCCAGTGTCATTTTTAACAGTTACCTGTTTGTAGTCCATCAGGTTGTGTTTCACTGTCCTATGTCTTTTTTTTGTGTGTGTTTTCGTCCACTCCTGTAAATCAAATTTCCCTAGGGACAATAAAAGTTTTAATTTTTATTAGCTTTAATATAATTATTGTTATATTTATTTTACAGGGCTGTATAAATGAATTAACCTCCAAAAGGTTTATGAAATGAACAGTACATAAATTCACAATAGTCTGAAGTTTAGTTTCCACTCCTTCTGTTGGGTCTAGTTTTGTCCTTGGAGGATCAAATAACATGTGTTGAAGAGGATTTTAGTAAAAGTAGTGAGCTCTCACTCTGTCTCTGTTTTCAAATACTAAGAGGGGGACCAAAGGGCCCCAGAACTTAAAGCTTCAGGGACTTCTCTTCAAGGAACTAAAAGGTTCTTGTGGCCCGTAGTAGAGTACGCTCTCTGTGGTTATTGTGACGACTAAAGCCATAACCACCATAACAGAAACACGAAAATGAAACCATATCAAAGAGTGTGTGAACAGATGTAGCTGTGTTAGGATGAAACAGTAGATTTTAAGGAGACAGTTTAATATATCATACATTTTATAGGCAACTATACCTCAGGACGTGAATCCTTACATTTTAGTTTGCTCAGTTTCCCATGAAAAACAAGTGCATTAAGTTGTTTTTGTTTTCTTTAGATATTGTGTTATATCTCCCTATTTCAGGAATAAATTTAAAAAATGGTTTTCCCGTGATGACAAGGTAATTTCAGTCGTTTTCTCAAGATCTTGAGAGCTTAACTTGTTTTAAGGAGAAAAGACTCAGGATTTCAGCAGCGTTCATCTCAAGATATCAACATAAATCTACAGAAATCAACTGGATATAACCCGCCATCGTGGCAATTAACAGTAGAATAAAATGTATGAATAGTTCGCTTCAGGGTGTGCACTCGTGGCTTTTTAAATATGACATTATATATTGTGATTTTGTGGTTGAGAGTCTTTATTTCAAAGAGTTGTCATGGAATTTATGAGACATAGGCAAGCATTTATTGGCTTGTTTTACAGTAATTTTTTGAAGAGAAAACAGGACAAAATAGTGGAAAACAAAAAAGTTGCAAAAAGTCGAAGATGCAAGACTTATTAGAACTCTTTAAAAATAATCTGGTTGCCTCAACTTTCGAGAGAGTAACACCTCCTCACACTGTAAAATATCTTTGCTGCACTTGTTAGCTTCCTGGAGTTTCTTTCTCGTCGCCATGGTAACGCTAGCCTCACCTCACCAGCTACACACTCTGGATAGTTTATAACACAAATAACACAAACACTTTAGAGATAGAAAACATAATGTCCGGGTCAGAGGAGCGGGCTCTGCTGGAGCTTAACCTGCGGAGGGAGACGTGGTGTCAGGTGGAGGTGAACCCCCGTCAGTCCTGGGAGAGGACCGAGAGGAGGCACTACCGGAGTCACCTGAGGACCAGCCCGGTCCTCCTCACGGCGCTGACCGCCGGACCGCAGCGAAGGCCGGCCTGCAGCGAGCGACCTCCCCCGGCGAAGCTGGCGGAGAGGAGGCACTTTGAAGAGAGCTGTAAGAGACTCTACTGACCTCTCCAGTGCAGATATAAGTAGTTACATTAACATACGGGTTATTTAAAGATTTTATGTTTACATTAATATCGTTTAATTGTCAAAAATAAGAGCGTTAAAAGTTATTTTTTATGTTGATGTGACAACTTAATTTGACTTTTCCCCTTTGATTGTATTTATTAAAACTGTCTCATCTTAGAAAATAACATTTAGCAATATACTGATAATAGGAAACTCCACTGCACACCCTATTTAAATGATTTAAATGTCTTTATAGACACGTCATGGTCATGAAAGCCTCAATACAAACTCATTTGAGCATGCACAGTCAATAAAGGAAATTAAAGTGCTTCAGATGAGGGTGTCTTACAGTTTGTGATGTCATCAAGGGAATAGTCTCAATCCTGTTTGAGCGCACATTTTCTCAAAAGTGGAGCAGGGGAAAGACGGAGAGGATGGACTTTTCTCATCTTTGGGGGGTTTGTAGACAGACTAGAGACACATGCTGAAGTGTATATTGCATAATATGTGACCTTCAAAGCTGTGCATTTTTGAAACAAATCTTTTGTCGTTTATGTCTCTCTTCTTCTCTTGCAGATAAATCTCACCTGGTGTAAACGGCGACACCTCGACAGGACCCCATGAGCTAATACAACGAGCAGAACATGAGCCTAAACACTTCAACCTTCAGTATTTTATTTCCATGCACAGAGAACATAATACATCATGATACATGACTAATAATACCCAAAGGACAAACATGTCATCACATAACTTAATTTAAACAATCGCTGTATTTATTTCCTTGTTGTTACCTGTTTCTAAAAAGCACCTCGTACTGTCTGTTCCTGTTAAACTTGAAATCCTGTTGGCCTTAATAAATGTGACTCAAAAACAGAACCAGTGTGAATGATCTCTGCCACTATCACATGTTCATAAACTTCATAAACAGACAAAAACCGGCCTAAAACATAATGTACTTAAAAAATAAACAGCTGGCTTTCACTTTAGCTTCCAAATGAAGATCTGGAGGTTGTTTCCACTTCTTATTTTTCAGTCTCTGGATGTTTTCAGATATTCTGGCTCCCTGAGGATAAACCTTACCCTTCTGAAACATGTGAGTGTTAGCGCCTGTTGGCCTTGGGGAAAAGTCTGTATGCATTTTGTGCGGTGACGAGTCGAACAGTTTCTGGCGACACACCTTTGACGTCAGCGATGTAGCGACAGGACAGAACAATGTTACAAGGCTCGTTCCTCACCTGGGTTAAGAGTCAGAAAGCGACAGGCTGACATAAAGACGTTTACAGTACTGTGTGTGAATGCAATGATTTTAGGTGTTTGGAAACGTACATGCTTCTCGAGCCCCAGTGCAGGAGAGTCCGTTTCCAGACAGATGTGTTCCAGCGGGATCTGCTTGATCAGTTTGTCTCTCTGTGTGGAAGTAGTTAAAAGTCACATATCATCCTCCTCTTCTTCAGTGTAAATAAGTCTCAGAGCTCCTCAAAACATGTGTGTGAAGTTTCTTGTTCTAAATCCACTCTGATCCTGTATTTGATCGTGTCTACAAACCCCTCTATTTCAGCCCTGGTCAGAACAGGTTGTTTCTGTGTCTGTACCTTTAAATATGTAAATGAGCTGTGTCTGACCACGCCCCCTCTCTGGAAGGGCTTTGGGTGTACTCAGTGCTTTCTCTCTCCATGTCCTATTGTTTACGGTGAGAAGGCAGACTCAGAGGGCAGAACAAACACCTAGCTGTGGGAGTGTCACCCACCTGGGGGAGGGGCTACTGCCCTTTGTGATGTCATGAAGGGAAAATATACAAACGGCCTGTTTGAGCACACATTTTCTGAAAAGTGGAGCAGGCAGAAGACGGAGAGGATGGACTTTTCTCATCATTGGGGGGTTTGTAGATGGACTATAGACATTTATTAGTGTTTGAAGTGGATTTTGCATAAAATGTGATCTATAAATTAAATACAAGTATGAATCCTGCATTAAGAGGTTCAGACTCCATGTTCACGAAGCATTTTTTCCGGTCAGAAAAGCGCTGGCTGTGTGCTCGGTGGTGCTTGTATGCAACGTTTGTGTGCTGCACTTCCATCCTGTCTCTAAACGAGATGTTCTATTGACACAGTTTGGATTGTTTTAAAACAGTTCTTTAAAGACGCTGCACACCTGTTGGTTTCTGCACACCGCTGGTGGAAACGAGATGAGGTACCCGGCCTTCACGCCTTCCAGAGCTACAGACGGCTTCCCAGCAAAGTTATGGAGCAGAGCTCGACTGATACCTGTTTTAAAAAATAAATAAATAACAGGAGACGAATCATTAAAACTTGAATCCTGCAGCCATGTAAATGTAGACAGCAATGTGGATTCAGTGAAACCACCTTGTTCCCGCATCGTCTCTATGGTGACCTTAGCAGCTGATCGTGAGTGGACGTTACTGGGCAGGAAACAGAAAGTAACAACAGCGATTTAATCCTGCTTTGTATATCCAGAGATTTACAGAAACACACAGATAATTCAAACAAAATTTAACTTGAAAATGAAAGAGAGCCATTCTATTGTGATGATAAATGAAAATACAACATAAGAAAACAAACGCCAAAATTTGTGTCACGCTTACACGGGTAACTCGAGCTCTTTGGCAACGCTGAGCTGTTTAATGAAAACCGCCATCTGGTCGTCTTTATCCTGCTGAGTGGGAGCGCACCACGGCGTGAAGTCCAAACCAATCTGGAGACAGAAGTGCAAGAAATACGCTGAGAACTTTTTAGAGATGCACCGATCCCAATCAGGGCAGATACTGATGCCGATGTTTGAAATAACGATTTAGCCGATTGCTGATACCGATGTTTGTTCATGACTTCTTTTGGTGCAATGGTGCATTCAAGTGGTGTCGGACACATCGGGTCTTAAAGAGGACATATTACCCCCCTCCTCCACCTTTTCAAACAGTCCCCTGTGGTCTAAATGAAACATCTGTGCTGTGCTCAAAATGTAACATGAATCAAGCACCAGAGGAGGTTTGTGACCCTGTATAAACCAGCTCTCTCAAAATGCTCCGTTTTGGTGTGTGTGTCTCTTTAAATGTAATGACCCCCCCCCCCCCCCTGAGTTTTCCCAGTAGACATCACTCCTCTGTAGAGAGAATAAAAATGGCGGACCTGCGCAAAAGTTTTGTTCTAGTCTGGGGGTGGAGTCCATGGGTGGAGATACCAGGGGAGGGGAGGGGATTTTTTTTTTACCAGAGTCCCACTGTGACATCACAAGGAGAGCACATTTGAAACGGAGCATTTTTCTCTGTGTTGTAAGACTTATGCAGACCACAAACAAAGGACTGGATGGGTTTATTTCACATTTTGTGAGTCGGTAGACACTCAGGTTACCCAAATAATGTTCAGAAACACTGTACAAGTGGATTTCTTATAATATGTCCCCTTTAATTATTTACAGAGAGCGATTGTTACCAAGGCGAGGCAAGTTGAAAAACTGAACATAAAGAGCATTAGTAGGAACTTTCACTGCTATGTCAGGTGTTGCTAGACGGGAGAGCACAAACACCTCGTGTTCTGAGTGAATCGTTGTATGGAAGTGTATTCACAATGTTGGAATCTTACATATGAAAATATGTTGAAGATTGTCTGATTTTCACAGGATGTCCGGGAGCGAAGCCAAAGCAATCTCATCCATTGAAGCATCAGTCCGTCTACATGGCCCCTCAGTGGCTTTGAGTTTAGGTTTAGCCGCCATAAATAGTTTTTGCTTCTCATGCAATTAATGATTCTAGGATATCAGAACTGCATTTCTGATAATGAGGCCAAGACGAGTCAGTCCAATTTTGTGGCATAAATTTGAGCTAAGTGGAAGTCTTAGCTTCAGAGATGGAAAACCGGCAAGGTAAAAATGCATGTGGGATACAGACTTATGGAGGAGCGGGGGGAGGGTGTGTATGTGTGTGTGTGGGGGGGGGGGGGGGGTATTCCTACCTTATCCAAATAAATAACAGACATGAAATGGAAAGTGGAGCGTGGAACTGTTGACTCAGCTCTGTGAGGCCTGAAATCTGCTCTGACAGAACACACACATTCCTGAAAACATACCCTGCGACCAGAGACTACAGCAAAGTGTGTGTGTGTGTGTGTGTGTGTGTGTGTGTGTGTGTGTGTGTATCTTCTGTCGTCATGACAGAAATCAAGACTGACAGGGGAAGAAAGGATGAGGAGGTGAGCGGTTAACTGATTTAATTCAGCAGGAGTCACACATCAGTTATGATTTATATCCAAAGTGTGCTTCACCTTAGCTTTATATTTTTGTGAGGACCAATTAGAGTGTGTGAGACGAGGACGTTTTGTCTTTTAGGTTTAAGATTATAAGAAGTTTCAGGTTCAAGCCGGGATTATACTTGTGCCTCAAATATGCGCCGTAGCTTCATGTGGCCCTGTAGCTACATACTGAGGAGGTCATGTATGAAGCCTGATGTGAACCTCCTCACTAACGTAACAAAGCGCCCAAAGGCCCTGTGATTGGACCGCTGGGTAGCAATGCATATCCTGCATTTACAACATTTAGGAAATTGCTGCCTTTTTCAAAAATTCTGCAGATGGAAGAATGCTAAAAGCCACTTTAATCAACTGCTGCTCAATATTCATCAGCGCCGACTCCTATATAATACGCTCAGGTTCAGTCGACATGAAACTGGCAATAAGACAAGCTTAGAAATCAGACTGACCACTAGGTGGAGTATTGCAGAGTTAGGTAGACACACCAATGTAACAGTATGTAGCGCGTCGCAGAGGTATAAACCAGGCTTAAGAGGCTAAGAGATTTATAATGTGTCGCTCAGTCACCGGGTCCGACAGAAGTCACAGCTGCACTGATAGCGTTGCCCGTGACTACGACAACCAAGGTCACTTTGCTGCGTCTCTCCTCATATCGGTCTTGTTTTTGCAGACTCAGCATCTGCTCTCCTTTATCTGAAACCTCACACACTGGCTGAGTCCATGAGAAGCTTTCAGATGAGAAGACATTCATCTTATTAGAGTTATATAAAGTAGAGCAACATGCCGCTGACTTCAGCTTCATCTGAAGGCTGAATACCAATCCTACAGGATGCACCAGTAAGACACTGTGTTACATCTGCTAATGTCATTTCTCCTCATGTCATATATAAACAACTTCAAATTAACACACCTGAGTCTCCTGAATCTTTCTCTTGTGAAGTCAGGTATCTATAAATTTCCCCAACAGTTATAAGTAGGAAGCGGTGAGGTGCTTCCATATCAGAAGTCCAAGACAAAAAATTGACAATGAAAGATTCACGTTATCATGAAGAAGTTAGAAAACATTCAATGTGACCGATTTGTCCCTCAATTCTAAATTAAAGAAAACAAATAAGGAAAGAAGAGTTTTAATTTATCGGACAGCAGGAGCCGAGTTCTCTCCAAATGAGAGAGTCTTACTTTCTCCCATATGTCATTTAAATGTATGAATAATTGGTTCAAACAGCTGTAGAGTAAAAACGGTGAGCGCTCTACCTCTCCGATACCAACAAGGCGTTCTCTGTGTTTGTAGAAGTGAGGCAGGGCGGCATCGAGGTCCTGTTGAAACAAACGATTTCATTAGAAGCTGGAGTTGTTTCAGAGATTTATGCAGAAAAAAAAGTAGAAAAAAATATCAATCTCTTCTATTTTTATCGAAGTTTTTTGGCATGGACATTTTTGTCCTTAGTGACTTAAGAGGGTAGTAAATTAAACTGATGCCTGAGGGTTAAAGGAATACAGTAAGAACCTTCAGATTCAGGTTTTTATTTCACAAAGCCGCTCTACTTCTAACTTCCAATGTCAGGAAGTATTCCTAGGCTGTTCAGAGAAATCCTTTCAGCAGCTCCATCAGTCAAAAGTATGAAACCAGAGTTAATCCTGGATCAGCTGACCTGCTTCAACGGGGTATCAAGAGATTGGAAAGGATTCGATTTCAGTCTGCTGTCTGAGAAAATTACAGCAGAAACTCTCAGGAGGATTAATTTTCACACATTTCTGGGGATTTTTCCACTGCGAGTCATATTTCTGTCCGAGTCTGTGACCTGTCCCGAATGAAAGAGGGGTCCTTCAAATAAGCAGACGGGATTCGACCTGTGAGTGTTTCAAGATTTCAGAGAATACCATTGTTTGTTTTCTAAGCAAAGTTTTAACAAACAAAAAAAGATCCAATTCAAAGGTTTCTGCTGTAACATTTACACATATTTAGAAGCTAAATGTCTCTTTGTCTTTCCAATGACAGAAAATTAAAAACACACCTTCACCTCCTCCTGAGGACTCAGAGATACTACCTCCCCTTTTTTTACTCTTATGCCCTCGCCTCCTGTTATTCAAAGCAGGAACAACACTGAGTAGAGCGGATAAAGTTACTCAACTCACCTCCCAGGAATAGTAAAGACAAAAAAATATAAATATAGCTGAGGTTCAGACTGTTTTCCTACCTGAGGTTTTACGCTGTGCTGCTCGGAGCCCCCGCCGACCTGCAGCGGATGGATACCGAAACATGGAGCCACCAGATCTGGATAACTGTGGGAAAGAATTCACCATAAATAATAAATACAACGCTGTCCAGCTGAGAGACGTTCTGATTCTATACATCAAGAGTACATTTAGTTCTACAATTACTGTCAATACAGTTAGGAGGTTTTCCCAAGCGGCCTCCCAGTGTTGAAAAATGAAGCCGATTCAGAAGGGAACGTGCAGTTCCTCGAGTGTCCACCAGAGGCTGGCTCCAAAAGCTCCCAAACTCCCATTGACACCCATATTAAAATCAGGTTGCAACTTCCAGTGTTGAAAAATGAAGCCATAAGGGAAGGGCAAAAATCCTGCAGTTCCTCGAGTGTCCACTAGAGGCTGACTGCAGAAGCCCCGGAAGTCACATACACACTCATTCAAAAGAGCCAGTTTAACAGCAGAAATAATCAAATTGGTTTAAGGAGATAATGTCTTTATCAACAAATGTTTAAGTTCCCATTTAGTAACCAATGGGTGGCTTTGTCCATGTTTAGTTACAGTCTGTGATTAAAATGCTAATTTATGCACAATTAGGGGCATGGCTGATCTGACTGACATGTGGGCACGTTGTAGTTTATTAATGACGCTCCACCTCTTAGCCTGTTTCTGACTGACTGAAACGTTTGAGACAGTATTTCCAATATAGCAACAGACATCGTTGGGCCTCAAAAGTCCCACTTCACAAATAACTTCAGGCAGAGGCTGAAATGAAGGTATTTACTGACGACAGTTTCACATAAATGAAGGAGTTTTTTGAGCTGCGAATCATGCAAAGAGACTCCACAGGTTTCACAGACTGAGAACATGAAAGGAGAATATGAGGATGATATGGGATCTTTAAATAACACGACATAATATAAGTTTGTGGGAATGACACTAACTACTTGACAGGGACTGATTAAAAGACATCACCGTTCCTGCAGCTGCAGAACTCTTTCAAACTCTCCAACTTCTTCTGTAACTGCAACCAGAGTCTTCAGCCCGGCCTAAACACACAAAAAGACACACAAACACACATTTGCTCTTTTTCTAAAGTCCGAAAAGAGTCTGCAAATAAAGTTTAGCAAGGTACAAAGAGCTCACAAGCATCTATAAGAGTATCACAAAGTACTGAATTGAAAAACAGATAACTGACCTCTTTGGTCCTTTGAATCACATCCTCCAGATCCTAGAAAAAAAAAGTTGGTCAAATAAAAAACACTAGAAATGTCAAAACAAACAGCAGCTAACCACATTCATGACACTTAAAAGACAACAGTGTGTATTTATGATGTTCAGTTAAAAAAAAACATGTGATAACTGATTAATATGAATATTTATGGTTTTAATAATAATAATTAAAAGTATATTTACATCAAATGTCTCTTTAACTAACGTTAAGTGATCCAAACACTTCAAATATAGTGTAACAGATTGTTGTGTTTGGTATGTGTACTGTATATCTCATTCGCTTTTAGAGTGAAGTGTCCCTAGAGAGTCACCGTAGCTGTCGTAAAGCAGTTGTTGTTGTTGTTGTTGTTGTTGTTGTGATCCTGTTCGTGGTACACAGGTGTGTGTGGAAGCTGACTTATCGAAATTCTTGTTGTTTTGATTTCTGGCCCTTGTTGAATTTTTTTGTCCTTGCTCCAGTTTGTCGTCTGCTTACATTTGTCTGATGTTTTCTTTAGGAAAAGTTTGATTTTTATTTATTTATTTTTATATATAATCCCCCCTAGTCTTGATTTATGTTTGAATTCACTTCCTGTGTATTTTGATGTTGTATGTTCATCTTCTTTAAGAGTTTGTATAAACATTTTTTGTATATGTTATATTTGTCAATAAAGACGGTTAAAAAATAAATAAATAAAAACAGGTGTGTGTGGAATAAAGTGGAAGCCGTGGATAAAGAAGCTCCCCGCCTATGTGCAGTTTATTTATTTATTTATTTATTTATTTATTTATTTATTTATTTAGAACGATTAAAAAAATAGATGAAGATGAATGAACAAATGGAGAAAAAAAATCTGTATAAAATACAAATAAAATAAAATAAAAAAGCCAATTTCAATATAATATACATTTGACCCGTTCGAACAGTCTATGGTTCGAACACCATTGTTATTGTTTTCTGTATCCGGTCCGACGAACCCAGAAAGCTCGGTTTACAATAGCGACACACTGTTTGGTTAACTTGGTTCCTACCTCTTCAAACTCACGGGCTGATATGTGACAGTGACAGTCAACGAAGCCTTCCTCCATGAAGCCAAAAGAACACGAGTTAAAACAAAACGGTGATATTTGCAAATGTAGTCCACAGAAACAGAGCTAACGGAACTCTTGTGCGGCGCAAACTGACGCGCTGATGTTATGGTTCCGGGGGGGGGGGGGTGCATTCGTCGACGGACCAGGAAGTTCCGGTTTTGCGTCAACAAATTATAAACAAAGTTGGCGGTAAAGATGGAGCCCGTAGAGGCGAGAGAAGCTGCGCCCAGCGGTGAAACAAACGAGGAGTACAGAGTGCAAGTTACGTCGAAGAAACAAGTAACAGAGCAGATAAATAAACATAAAGAAACTCTGCGGGAGCTTCTGGACCGACAGCCGGACGTCGACGAGGAGACGAAGCGGCTGTTAGTGCAGGAGCTGCAGGCGGTGAGGCCCAACAAACAACCACTATTAAACCCTTTAAACCTTTATTATTCTCACTTTATACTGGAGATAATCTGTGTGTTTAAACTAATTCACCTGTCAGAATAACCTTCTGTATCTATGTGTAAAGATTTACTTTTGTTTACAGAGTTTTTCAGGATTATCCACCAAATCTCGTCTGAAAAAAGACAATTTTGTTGATTTCTTTGTAGCTAACATAAATTAACACTTCAAATATTTGTATTCAAAGCTTTTTACACTTTTATTAACATCTAATGAGTAATTCGGCTTAGTAACTGTGAGGGTAAATTGGAGAAAACTTGACTTTACACTTCAGTAGAGCCAGACTGATGTGTGTGTTTTGGGCTGATTGATGTTAGGAAGAGAGAGAGAGAAACCTGAAAGTGATTTAAGATAAAACTTTATTGATCCCCAGAGGAGGAATCCGGGCGTTACAGCAGCACAAAGACAAGAAAGCTCAAAAATACAAATTACACATTAAACAGAATAGATAAGATAAATAAAAATAGAAACAGGGGGATATATACAAGTACAAAATGAATGATGAAGTTAAGTATTCAGAGAGTTGAGACAGTCTTTACAAGATAAAGTGACAAGTGATTAAAGTGACTTGGTATGATAAATAAATAACAGCAAGTAATGTAAAGAGCAGAGAAGAGAGGCAGTGTTGTACCACAGTAATGCAGAGTGTTATATAATATAATATAGTGCAATATGAACAATATAGTGTAATATAATGAAATGTTATATAATATAGACTAATATAATAATATAATAAAATATATAGAATGTACAGTATATATGTGTATATACACTAAATAATAATAATACAATGTTAGTAATGATAATAGTGAAGCAGGTCATGTGGGTAGTGTTTTATGGGGGTGAAGTTTAGTGTCAGGATGGTCTGTTATTGTTGTCATAGGCTGCTGTTGTACAGTCTGATGGCAGTGGGCACAAAGGAGCACCTGAAGCTCTGTTTTGCACCTTGGGGGGGGGGAGGAGGCGTTGGCTGAAGGAGCTGCCCATCTGCCACAGCTCACCATGTAGAGGGCTGATATGTTTCTTACATTTTTGTTTGATCTGTAGAGATAGGTAGATATATACACGTTTGTTGTGGCCAGATGGAAATACAAATGATTTATGGTTAAAAAAAAATGCAAAAAAAAAGCCAAACATTAATACTTTAGAATTGTTTGTTTACATTATTGTTTTTCAGCTTTTTATAAATTGATTTGGGGTAATTTTGCTTCGTTCCTCCCTCTTTGGAGAAACCGGCGCGTCGTTGCTTTGGTCATTTCATGGATCGCTTGTGGGAAAAAATCAATAATCAATCACCCCTTGATACTGAGTGATAAAGCTTGTTGTAATCCATATAGCGCCCCCTGCTGGTGACAGAGAACTGCTAGTGTAATACAATTAAACAAAAAAATGAAATGCTGTTTGACTGGTGAATGAATCTAATAATATCAGCCATTTGATTAACACAGATAGTCACTGGAGATATTGGACGATATTACCTAATCAAAGCTGTGATAAAACTACTATTGTTGATGTCAACTCTAAATTGCTGTATTAGAGTTTATTGCGTTAATTATTGACAACTATTTGTATCTGTGCAGAACTTTGAGGCAGCTGTTCAAGAGAACGTGTTGGTGAACGGAAAACCTTGGGAGGAAGCACCCGATGATGAAGGTGATACACGCTGCCTCCTTCAGCTCTTTTGAAATATGAACATTAACATTTCATTCTTATTGAGAAAAAGGTGTTGTCCTGAATTAAAGATTATCCCGATTTAATATAAAATATTACACCGGGCAGAGAGCGAGGCTGTTGACCTGGAGCGCCTGCTTGATGACACCATCGTTGAGACCACTAGGAGGCGCCGTACGTACCCGAGAAAGATCCTGCCCCATGTTATCCACTCCCTGAAAGCTGAGAGGAAAATCATGGTAGGTGTCAGAATATGTCCTTTTACTAAGGTCTGACAAAACACGGCTGCTTTTCAGATTCAACAACACTGTTACAATTAGTGACATCTAAAAGCGTGCGAGGTGCAGCTCACGTTACCTCATCAGACCAATGAGGAGACACGCCATCCAAACAGACAACAATTGATTTTAAATTCCCACAAGCTGCACAATAATTGTGCAGCATCCAGAGCTGCTGTGTCTTAAAGTGAACTTTACCAACGTCTGCTGTGTTTGTTTTTTTAGGGTCTGTACGAGCAGACAGTCCAACCTCAGGAGATGGTCAGAGATCCTGAACAAGGTAGAGACCTCAAATCACTTAGCCTGTAGAGAAACACATTTTAAACATTATTTAATGTTCTCTCTGTGCTAAAAATAGAAACTTCAAGTTGTTATCTAAAGTATAAACCCCGCTTTGTTTACAATCACTTACCTAATCCTGCTCTCACTTTACTTCTTTATATTTCCTTTCTGAGCATGGTTATTTATTTATTATTTTTATCCGTTTTATTGGTTGATATTTATTTCTCTTAAATGCCCTGATTGGAGGAGCACTTAAATTATGTTTATCATTTTTATAATTTCTTTGTGTATTTTATAATCTTTAGTAGGTTTTAAATAGTTTTCCTTCTCTCTAATGTGTCACATGTGGTGTCATAATGGATGTCACTATCGTGCTGGCTGAAAGAATTCCTCATGTCCGGAGGTTGTGGTTCTCCAGACGGGCGGTTCAGGTCCGTCCTGGCTCCTTTCCCGCTCTCTCTCTCTCTCTCTCTCTCTCTCTCTCTCTCTCTCTCTCTCTCTCTCTCTCTCTCTCTCTCGCTGTTGACAATTTCTGACTCTTGAGTCTCCACTGTTCTGTCTCTGGAATCAAAGCATAAAAAGTCCCAATAACAACCTAAAAAAAAATGAAATTCAGCTGTTCAATGAGTGTTTGGCTCCATGCATGTGATTAAATTCTTTTTGCAATTTTCTTTTTACCAGAGAGCATCATGAACGATCTGTCAGCAGCAGCTCCTGTGATGGTGAAACAGGCCATCCAGGTCATAAAGGTAACACACAAAACGTCTTCCTTTTTTTATCAACATGTTTATTTTTCATTAAAAAGCTGCTTATTGACACGTTTTTTTTTTTCTGTAGTCCATCAACACCCTGCAGAAACAAGCCGAAGGCCTCTGTGAGATCCTCAACATGAAACCGAGTCACGCCTCGATGGAAATCCACAGAGAAGTATTTGGATCTAACGGCCAATCAGACGCTGCCCCGCTTCCTGTGAACGGAGGGACAGGGAGCAGGCAGCCAATAAAGAGAGCCGTGGAGGAAGCAGCAGAGGCAAACTGTTACGTGCCGCTCAGTAAGAAATCTGCGGCAGAAGAAAAGCCAGAGTGACAAATCCTGCCGCCCTTATCCCAGAACAATGGTGATGGCGTGATGTCATGGACTAATTGGGTTTCTTTTTTCTCCTCACTGTTTTGTCTATAAACCCTTTAAAACATACAAAACAGGGATTAAAATGACATTACTTTTGGGATTAATCATCAAACATGTAGTTACTGATCTGTGACTCATTATGGACATGAAAAAAAACCAATATTAAAGATTAAAACTTGTAAATAAAAATAACTGTTGTCCCCAGCAACCTCTACAGTTCTAAGACCGGAGTCCTTAAAGGTATGATGTCCAACATTCAGAGCAGATGATTTAAAACAAAGCTGCCTCTTCAGCGCAACACTTCCCCTCATCTCCCACCCCTACCTTAGTGATCCGACAGAGTGCAGCCGTTTCTATTGTTACGCCTCCACCAGAGTGCGACCCACAAATTCACCCGATCAAACAAATCAAACACCTTACAATAAGTAAAACTTACTTACAATATTGAAGTAAAAAATAAAACCTAAAATCCTTGACTGAGCAGCACAACTCCAAAAGCTTTCCCTCCTCCTGAACTCTGCTCTGGGTTGTTGTTTTTTAAGATTTATTTTTGTGCCCTTATTGAAGAGATAGGACAGTGGATAGAGTCGGAAATCAGGGAGAGAGAGAGGGGAATGACGTGGGAAAGGAGCCACAGGTCGGATTCTAACCTGGGCCGCCCGCTTGGAGGACCACAGCCTCCATACATGGGTGTACCTCGTTAGGCGATCAGTCACTTCACCTGGGCAGAGCTGAAGACAACAGAAGGGAAGAAGAGACAGGGAACAACGTACAGCATCTGAATCTGTTGTCTGTGGTGTATGTTATAAACCTTTATGCCCTTACTAACAGCGACCCTAAGTGGGCGGGGCCGTCTCTCTTCCTCCACACGGTGGCGACGCTGACGATTTAACAGAGACGGCTTCATGTGAATAAAACATTCTTGATACTCTGAGCTTGACTTGAACTGTTATTTTAATATATATGTACTTATCTTTTTGTACACTTTTTTTTTTTTTTTTTTTTAAAGACTGAGGTTGCAATATTTCTATATTGTCATAACGTCTAAATACTCTATAAAAACAATAAAAAAACAAGAATGTTCCTTTTTTGTCTTGTCTGTGGCTCTGAGCCTCAAGTCCATTTTATACCTGCTGAAGATGTCACATAAACAGGAGAACATTTGTACTTGGACTATTTTACCCCGGCGATATTTGTGCTTTTTTCATGTAGCATTTTGGTTCTGTATAGGATGAAGGGACATCATGTCACCAAGTGCAACAGTCTGTGCCCCAAACATGGAGGTAAACTGTTGCCCTTGAGTCATATGACTTCACTGAACTGGCTCCGCTGCTGCTTCTTTTAAAACGGCAGTGAAATTGAAAGGTGAATAGAAAGCTGAAGTGAAACCGCAGCGTATTTTCAGCCTGGTTTGTTTAGACTTTCTGGTTACTCTGCACAGTCCACAGACAGCACGTTTCATATTCTGACACACACAGAGTGAGCAGGATATCCTCCTGTTTTTTTATTCCTTCTAAATTTAATTCAACCATTGTAAAAAAATCTGTGATGTCAGACTGTGATTATTCCTGCAAATCATATCGGGAGAACAGCAAGAATATCCATCTCTACGAAGGATGTGAGGTAAGAAAACAAAAACAGGCTGTTTTATCATCTCTTTTGGTCTTGTCTTGTTTTAGGAAGATGATTTCTTATTGTTCAAACGACACCTTATTCAGATCGGAGGTTAAAGTGGTGCAACAGACACAAGAGTCATATCCTCCTGCTTAAAATCTGTTTTGGTTTCTGCGAGAGATAGTGGATTCTGGTGACTTAACGTCACTGTTGTTTGTGACGAATGCTGTGATTTTAATGCTTTAATAAATTTAAATAGCTTAAAAGACATTTGTTGGAATAAATATATAAACTATTACAATTAACTTCACCTACAACGACATGGAGGCAACTCACAATAATAAGACCAACAACTTTGAGGTCACCAAACTGTTGGTCCCCATAAAGTGGTATTTGAATGTGGTCCCCAGATAGATAGAAAAACCTGTTTGTGTGTGTGTGTGTGTGTGTGTGTGTGTGTGTGTCTGTGTGTGTCTGTGTGTGTGTGTGTGTTGCAGGGTTCAGGGGATGAAAACAGGAGGCTGAAGAGGAGAGAGAGGAACAGAGTTTCAGCAAGAAAGAGTCGGAACAGACAAACGCAGAGAGCTGACCTTCTGCATCAGGTGTGTGTGTGTGTGTGTGTGTGTGTGTGTGTGTGTGTGTGTGTGTGTGTGTGTGTGTGTGACTGTTTTCAGATTGGACAGCACAACATCTCAACTCAAGTGAAGCCAAAACATTTGGAGCTCCTTCTGTTCACTGGCTGCAGAGTATAAGCTCCGCCTCCTCTTTACAGATGGGACAAACTTTAAAATCAAAATTCAAGGGCTATCAAACGATTTATTTAAATCGCGATTAATCACTGAATTTGAGTGGTTTATTGCAACATTTACATATTTAGTTGCGTGTTTGAAATTCCATTATTTAGCTTTTAATATCAGTTTTTGGTTTGCTTTCATTCTGACTTTTTTTTACTACTGTCTTAAACTCAGGGTTCCCTACTTCCTGTTTGGACACAAACCTGCTTTTATTTTAAAAGAAACTAATGAACGTCCGGTTGATAGATGGTTACGACATTAACTTGAAGTCCCCTTCAAAACAGAACTTCGAAAGTATCTAAACTCGTGTTTTGGTCGTACTTCAAACCGAAATGGGATAGAACCAATCACAAGAAGAAGGCGGGGCATAAAGTTGGGATAAACTTGATTAGACAATTAACTTGGCACCTCATGTGACCCTAGGCCACCAAAGTATTATTCTATGGTTATTTTAAACAACTGAAACTGACACACACTACTACACAAACTAAGCCCTTGATTAATAATATTAGAGGTCTGATTCTTGTCTTGTCTTCCATCTCTTCTTCTTCTTGTCTTCTTTCGTCCTCTCCTATCCTCCAGGCCTGTGAGCTGTTGGAGCAAAAGAACAGAAAGCTGAGGAGCGAGGTACCTACAAAAATACATAAACTTTTAAATCACTACCGACCACTGCACCAGGTCACACTTTATTAATTTTCTTTCTGATTTGATTTTTTTTCTTTACCCGAAAAAGGAACAAAATAAATCTTGTTTTGACAAAATGAGTCGCTACAGTCGAGTGAAACAAGAAAAGTAATAGATGAATATCTGTTGACTTGTCTACAGGTGGATTCTCTCTCTGAAGAGCAGCGCCTGCTGAACAACGCCCTTGTGGCACATGAGCCCCTCTGTCCCATCATGCATTGCTCCTTCGCCTCATCCACCTTGTCCAGCCTGCAGCCTGACACCAGAGAAACCCACTCTGTCTGAGGCAAGCAGTTATGACTCCTACCACGCAGTATGCAACAAAATCATCTGAAGATACACACCGTGTTATAATGCAGTCAACCTCCAGAGGGCGCCCTTCACCATGATCAGAGACAAACTGTTTCTTCAACAGACAAGAGGACTGAACGCCTACTGAACTTACAGTGAACTTATAACCAGAGTGAAGAGTGCCCTCTGCTGGTGGAACCTGTTACTCAGCTAATCAGGTCCAAAATGTAAATACAGTAATAGATATTTTCCATACGGCACCTTCATTTATATAAAAAAAAAAAAATGGTTTGACTAAAAATTCAGTTTGAAATAAATATTTAAATATTGAGTCTAAATTGTTGATTTTGGTTTGACTTTGCGTAAATTATTTATATTTTTGGGGTGGTTGGGGCGCGCGTCCCATGTGTTGAGACTCTCATCTCAAGCGGTGGGCCCGGGTTCGCTTCCACCTGTGGCCTCTTTCCACATGTCATTCCACTCTCTCTCTCCCTGGTTTCCGACTCTGTCCACTGTCCTATCTCTGCATTAAAAAAAAAAAAAAAAAAAGACCCAAAAAGCCCAAAAAAAGAAATTATTTATATTTATTCAGAGGTTTTCTCTGCTCTGTGAGAGGATAGGATTAGCTGCATCTTAAATGAGAAAACAAACACAAGATATTTTTGAAAAGCAATTAAAAATAAAGATAAGAAAACTGAAACAAATTGTGTGGTTGTAATCTCTGTACAAAATATTTTAAGACATTTAAGTAGTATTTTTATGATGTTGTAGTAACAAAGAGAAGAATTTAAAACAGCCATGCTACATATTTTCCCACCTTATTTACGCTGGTAACACGACCTAAAAGTGCATCTTTGATGAAGAATCTTAAACGTTTATAAACATCTATGTGTGGTTATAAATCAGTCATAAGTACTTGTTTTGTGTATTTTCAATTATTAAAGAAGGAAAGCAAATGTTGCACCCATAAAGAGACAAGGACTGTCTTCTGTTTGGCAACTTTTTCCACATGTTTAAGCATGTTTAAAAAGTGCTTCTTCTTTTTTCGCGATCTACTTTTGGGTCCTGACCCACCAGTTGAGACCCCCTGACGTAAATATTAAAGTTATTTAAAAACAGAAACGTCTATTTAGACAACCTTAAAATCAGATATATGGCACTTTAAATTTCAGTAAAACACAGATATATTGTATATTGTCAAAGAACATTTCAAAATAAAAGTATGACATGTTTAAAGAACGTTACATAACAGAATTACAGAACATGAAATCAATAATGGAAATATGAAACAATTAAACATTAAAACACAAATACATGCCAGGATAGGTTAAGATCACAAATGTATAACTCCATTAGAGGGGCACTGGCAACGTACTTTCCACATGTAATGAGTGTTGGACTGAGGAAATAAAGAATATGAGGATACATATGCTTAAACACATGGGGTATTAAGTTTGTGAGATACCTGTGCATGTGATATATTTATGGACTGACCAGATAATAGATTATCAGTGTCTCATGTTTTGTTTTTCAATCTGCTGTATGACCCGTATTTTGTTTGTTTTTGATGATTGAAATGAAGAAAGCAACTTTGAAATGAAGCTCAAGTAAAAAAAGAAACACAACAAATCTTTAAAAAAAAATTAAAAAATGGATACACTGACCACAAGCAAAATATATAATGAGATTAAAATAATCAAGTGAGGTAAAAAGTAGAGACACCTTGTTGACTTGGTCTTGCGATAAAGGATCTGAGATAATTCACAGAATAGACATCGGTGTAATACGTAATGTTGTCACAGTTTAAACACTTACTTAAACACTTACACTTACGCCTCTTCTTCCCTTTGGCTCTGTGTTTTCCCTGCTCTGTTTTACTGGCTGGTTTTAAAATCTTTTTGGTGTCGCTCCTTTCTTGTGGCACACGATGTGAACCAAAGATACAACACAATGAATGAACATAAACAACTAAAATGTGACACATTTAGGGAACATTATACAGCAGAAAATACACTTTTTACAAACTGAAATATTATCCTTTAATTTAAATGTAAGACATCAAAAACTGAAGAGAAATTGGAAGAGTCATGTCTTCATATGGCAATAAAGTCCCTACAATTCTATAATGTATTTTGATGATCAATCTTCTTTGGTAAATGGGCTTGAGCTTGTACAGCGCTTTTCTAGTCTTCGGACTGCTCAAAGCTCTTTTACACTGCAGGTCACTCATCACATTCACACACTGATGCTAGAAGCTGCTGTGAAAAGAGTCCATTAGAAGGAACTAATCACATTCATACACATTCATATGCCGAAAAAGCAGCAGGAGCAACTTGGGGTTAAGTGTCTTGCCTCAGGACACATCAGACATGTGGCATGTCATCACACGACAAGTATAAAAACCACAAAGAGGGAAGATGCTTCCCCAAAAACCCACAGCAGTTATTACCAGCAGGCATTTCAGTAAAGGATGTATGACAACTACAATAAAAAACCACCCTGAGTGTATCATTACCGCCCTGTGATTGCAGACATGTTCACCAACATCATTAAGTGTCTTTCGAAACACGTTCATGCCGGGACATGACCTAATTTTATCGACGCTCTTGAGGTCATTTGAAGCCACAGACATGTCAGAATGAATAAATAAAGTCTGTGTCACCTACATTAGAATAGAAACAAGCAGTCCTGGTTACGCTTGATGGCTCGCTGCGAAGGTTATAGTTCCTTATTTTTGACCACAACAGCATCAAACTTTATCTACTCTGAGGTTCTCTTTCATTTCTCCTTCCGCTTCCACGATGAGATGAATGAAAAGTGCATCTCGTGTGAAACGAGCTGACGCAAACCAAGCGCAGTGAACGGAAATGGAACTGAACAGTTACTGCAGCAGACTTATGGGAAACTGCACAGATGGTGATTCTTGAATCGCCTAATATGGTTGTGTTGGATAGAAAACTCCTACTGGTGTGCCAAACTTCATTCACTGGATTCTACCTGCTGCTTAAAACAAACCCTGAGAGATTGAAATCTTCGAGCAGTTCCACTCCCTTGACCCTCCCTCTGCAGGAAACAAAGGGTGCAGTAACTGTAACTGCCCTCAGCACATAAGCACAATGAATACCTGCAGATTTCTAGGGAAATCAGATCAGATCAGATCTCGGCTTGTTTCCATTACCTGGTAAGTGAAAACAACAGAAATGACAGAATATTACATCAGACTCCTTAGCTGCGTTCAGACACAGCGCAGTGGTCTGATGTTGTTGCTTCGGGGCTTAGGACTGAGCTTTTACTTTACTGCTTAGGAAACGAGGTCAAAAGTCAACCTACATCACTGATCATCACTGAAACCTAAAATACATATATTCTTAAATTTATGACTTTCTTGTATTCTTAATTTCTTATATATGTAACTCTGACACCTAGTGTTTAAAATGGGTACTGCAATCAAAATTCTTAACATGAAGAATGCTTCTCCCCCGCTAGTTAGCCTACGTTTAACACACAGAGGTTCATGATAAGAACATATATCTATCTTCTAGTCATTAATAGACTTGGGATTTTGTTTTTTTTTTACATGTGGAGCATCAAGAATGTAGACCAGATCTTGGGGCTTGTGGTCTGTGAAGTTTCAACGCACACTTACATTTTTTAGGAAGGTGCAAGTCAGGCGCAGGCTTCTGCGTAGGTACAGGGCTACGCCGACCTACAGGGTATGCTACGGTGTAGTACCGATGCAGAGGTATAAACAAGGCTTTACTCTACCATGGAAAAATTATTTATGTGGGGGCGTTGGTAGCCTAGTGGTTAGTTAGTGTGCCCAATGTAGCCAGGCTGAAGTCCTCCAATCAGGCTTAAAATCCGACCTGTGGCTCCTTTCCTGCAGGTTTGTCCCCACTCTCTCTGCTCTATCCACTGTCCTATCTCTCTATACAGGTATAAAAAGACCCAAAATAAACCTTAAAACTATTATTTGTGGTCACACCAAGAACAACAAACACAAAAGCAACCAAATAAAAAAGAAGCACATGCAGGAAGTATCATCCCCCAGCTCCCCCACCCCCAAACATTTACACACACTTCTGCTGAATTGTGGACGGATTTCTTGTGTATTTCTCTGGAAGAGTCACGCAGTAGTGCCAAGACAGATGTATTCTCATTAAAGATTATTTTGTATCTTTGCCTGGCACTCATGAGGTCATCCTAAACGATGTTATATGCATTAACTAACCCCCAAAGTCTCCACGTATACTTAGAGTAAAATTCTGCAGATGGTTGCAATTACTAATTCCTTAAAAGTTACTTCATAGGTGGATTTGAGTATGCAACTTCCCTGTGCCAAACATCCTGGTGAGCTTTCTCTTTCTTTCAATGAGGAAGTGAAGAATGAAGTCTTTGTGCTATGTGCTTAAGCACAGTACGGGACGACTTTGATAGTGTGAGTGCGTCCTAACTCCTCAGATGCCAACCAGAACTCAGGGGGGAAAATTTGAATTATTTCACAAAAAAATGGAGAAATTAAGAATCATTTCACCCTCCAGTTTTGATCTACTTTTGAGTCAAAGCAGCTTGGTAGGAACGTTTCTCTTCCCAGTCACACAGATACCATATTAAAAACCCTCCTTGGACATTTTGACCACTGATACACTTACATAATATTTGGTGCAGTTTGCCTTCATTAAATGTCTTTAAAACTCCAGGGGATTTTTTTTGTCTCGCTTCTTCTACCAATCTTAATGACTCAAACTCTGATTCCTCTTGCTCAAAAGTTTACCAGGAATTTTCCTGAGGAAGGACTTTAATAGAAAGCAGCAGCAGAGAAAATCTGAATTGCACAACAGAGAGCAGTGTTCATTGAAGTTTCGCAGTTGAAGCAAAGAATTTGCAAGCCATGTTGCATCATGTTGACGTTGTGGATCGATGACAAATTTGGACGTTCTTAGGCAAGTTCAGTTGCACAAGTAAACGGATTTCTGACCCCATCAATAATGGTCACTGAAACTTCACAATTTCTACAGAAAACAGGACACAAAAAAAACATCTTCTTTATGGAAGAATTGTATTGGCAGAACAACTTTTAGGGTGTGTTTGAGCCTGAATATAATGGTGCTGTATTCATTGTGAATTGCCCTCCGGGGGCTTGGAAAGTATTTAAATCAATTAATCAATCATTATCGGTATATCGGCAAGTCATAACAAGTGTTATCTCAGGACACTTAACAAAAGAGAAGATGGGATAAGATGCAGGAAGGATTTCTCCTTTGTATTCCTTG